TAAACGAGTGCAGTTAGCCTAAACCACCATGTGACTAGCTAGAGTAGACGGCAGAAATGATGAAGGTGCTGGTTAAACCTTTGTCTCAGAATGTGCGGCTGTCAGTTTGTTTGAATGCCAACATGAAGGGACCTCAGAATAAAAGCTCTGGAAGGTTCTTTTCTTATATTTATATCATAGTTCTTTATTGTGTTTACACGGTCTTCTTTAGCGGAGTTTATAAACGTACCAGATGACTAAACAGCAGATACGAGGGTTTGACTCCCACCCACCCCTGAAGCTGCTCTTTTGCTTCTGTAGATGGAGCTGATGCAGCAGAGTCAGGTGAAGGCTGAAATCCAGTCCCTGGCCTCCATAGCTCCTGACTTCTTCACCAACATCTACCTCCCTAATAAGCTCCGCTATGGAGGCTGCGTGTGAAGATGCTGCGCCCTGGTGGAAGAGCTAGAGAAGGTCTGACTCAGGTTCTACTTCTGCATGGATCTGCTGAGGCTGAAAATGATTATCGGTGGTTGTGTGGATTCTTGATCTGTGTCCACTTTTCCATTATCACAATAAGAGCTTTGTCAGGATATTTAAAGTTTGCTTCCTCTTCCGGGGTCACTGGTGAACACATTTTGATTAATCTGGAGACTATTAAATAAATAAGGAGAGGGATTTATAAGCGAGGGCTTCATCCCACTCCCCTTGAACATGTTTCTCATTTGTACCATTTTTTCTTTTTCTTTACTTCTCATAGCTTGCTTTACTTTATCAGAATTGATATTCAGAGTTGGGACCAGGTGAAGAATAAAAATAAACCCACTTTAGTTTGTTTTTTGACCCGTGAATACAGGTTTAGTCTGAGGAGTTTTGGGTTAATCTACGTTTAAGTAACTACATGAAGATCAGGCTAGTGGTTGTTTTACTGGGGTTAAATGTAATGTACCATGTGGTCAGTTTTTCACCATCTAATTGAAAAGGAAATAACCATCATTTGCAGACACGAAAACCATCTGTCTGGCCTCCAAATCCAGAAAGTTCTGCTCCGTTCTTGTTTTCGTACAAGAAGACAAAACATTCTCACCCAAGGCCTCATGCAGACTCCTGCATTTTCACTCTGAGGAAGTCATCCTGAATTATAAATAACTACAGCTCATAAGTTGAAATAATCATATGTGTTGAAGGAACAAGATGTTTAAATCAAATGTTTTTGTTTGTAAAATTTAAGTTCAACGTTTTGGATACGTATTTTAATAAAAACGAATAAAGGTGCAGGGCAGCACATTGCCACAGACTAAATTCAAAGACCAATTTGGTGTGCCACCCCACAAATTTCTTTGGCCCCATCTGGCCACCGCTATCAAAATTTTCTGGAGGCGCCCCTGTCTGTAACGCTGCAGCTGATATCAGACAAACGGCTCTTCTAAGAGCCAAACAAACAGACTTAGACGCAAACAAACATTCCAGCTTCCTGCCGTCACCTGTAGAGACATCAGACTAGACGGGTCCTATCGGAGCTAATCTATGGGTTCCTGATATCAGAGGTCCACTCCACCGGAAGTGACCAGCACGACCTCGTCTTGACCCCCTGGATTGCACGAGAATCTGCACACAAAAGGGTGCGTAGACTCGACACAGATTGCGTCGGATATTTTTTATAAATAAATCTCTAGGTAAACAAACAGCCAGATTTATTTTACAACCCAGACTACCAATTCTCTCAGACACCTAGAAGGTTTTACAACATCTAGCTTCCATTACAACGTTCCACACATCCCATCAAATCACTTTGTTACATTACATGTCATTCCATTCATATCTTGTCATGTATAATCATTAGTTTAGGGAAAAGAAATCAATTCATTTTTATAAACTATGTGACTGTCTGAATTAATATGAAGCGTGTTTATGGTCCCTACTTTGTCATGTGGTCAGATGAAACCAAAGTAGAACTTTTTGGTATAAACTCGACTCGTCGTGTTTGGAGGAAGAAGAATACTGAGTTACATCCCAAGAACACCATACCTACTGTGAAGCATGGGGGTGGGAACATCATGCTTTGGGGCTGTTTTTCTGCTAAGGGGACAGGACGACTGATCCGTGTTAAGGACAGAATGAATGGGGCCATGTATCGTGAGATTCTGAGCCAAAACCTCCTTCCATCAGTGAGAGCTTTGAAGATTAAACGTGGCTGGGTCTTCCAACACGACAATGATCCCAAACACACCGCCCGGGCAACAAAGGAGTGGCTCCGTAAGAAGCATTTGAAAGTCCTGGAGTGGCCTAGCCAGTCTCCAAACCTCAACCCCATAGAAAATCTGTGGAGAGTTGAAAGTCCGTGTTGCTCGGCGACAGCCCCAAAACATCACTGCTCTCGAGAAGATCTGCATGGAGGAATGGGCCAAAATACCAGCTACTGTGTGTGCAAACCTGGTAAAGACCTATAGTAATCGTTTGACCTCTGTTATTGCCAACAAAGGTTATGTTACAAAGTATTGAGTTGAATTTTTGTTAATGGCCAAATACTTATTTTCTACCCTGATTTACAAATATATTCTTTAAAAATCCTGCCATGTGAATTCATGGATTTTTTTTCACATTCTGTCTCTCACAGTTGAAGTGTACCTATGATGAAAATTACTGACCTCTGTCTTCATTTTAAGTGGGAGAACTTGCACAATCGGTGGCTGACTAAATACTTTTTTGGCCCACTGTAAATGAACACTCGAATCTTCTGATTAAACATTGAAAGGTGAATCAGTTTGATGTTTCATATTTATATGGAATATCACATCTTATTGTTCATTATTAATAAAAATGTAGTCAAATAATTTTCACTACAAATGTTAGAGAAGAAATGTTTTATAATAGTTCCTTATTAATTAGAAATGGAGTGAATAAACAGTGTTTCCAGTGTAAATCAGACAGCCAATATGTTGGTTTGAATGGCTCTGGAAATCCAAATAGACATAATCCTAACACAGGAAGAATATTCAGTAGCTGTGATTGTGTCGAACACCTTGTTCTGTAAATGACCAATAGCCCCAACTGGTGGTACTTTTTACCATAACAGTCAAAGGTGAAGAGGTCAAACAGGATCTGGTAAGAGTCACAGGTGGAAGTATGATAGAAAAACTACAATGGCGTGACCACACGACTGCTATGCTCATATAAACAAACGTGTGAAGTGACTGATAGTTGTGCTTTTAATGACATTTTACTTTGAATAAATAAAACTTTAAATTTCATTTAGCTGTTGAACTGTAAGGCTGCATCCATGAAAGACAAAATCAATACAGAAAACAAGAAACTATAATCATCATGTCTCGCAAAGCTGGATAGAAACTCTTCCTCCTCATGGAGAATTTATGTGCACACGGGATGTGTTCTGCTACTAAGGCTCCTGATGGAGCTGGCACAGCCACAGCTCTGGTGTGTAGAGGAGTCGACCTAAAGACAAGTTTGTGTTCATCCTGTTTTATTTATCACAGAATAAAGAAGCTGAAGTTTTGGTGATTTTATGAGTTTTATGTGGTTGTGAAATCTCTGACACTGGCAGCAAACACGCCTCAGTGATTCAGAGCTGAAGAAGCGGTGAGGTCAGGAGGTGTGTTTTCCACCTGGAGAACCCCTCCACTCCAGAGAGCTGAGCCTTTGAAACGGTTCATTCAGTGGATGGTAGGTGCACACGCTCCCACTCTGCTGTAAGTCTCATTATTAATTATGACTGCAGCACCTCCAAAGCACCAACAATGGTTTGATTGTTTTGTTTTGGATTTTAATATATATATATATAATTTTTTAATTTATTTTTATTTTTTTGCTTTTTCTATGTATTGTATAACTTTTACCTTCAGTGCTTTTCTCAGCTCTGCTGTTTGCAATCTGCTTAATAAAGGAAGCTGGCTTGGCTAAATGGTTAAACTAGCATATTTTACATAACAGAAACTTGCATTGCATTTTATTTGGCATCTTCATAATGTTTTTTGCACATGAACTGTAGAGACGAGCCACACGTGGAAATATTCAAGTGTCTCAAACATACAACTGCTGCTTTGGGCCCTTAGCATGTGTTCCTGAACAAAATCACAAGTTCTATCTTGATCACTGTGTATCACATCCTGAATGGTCCCAGAGATATTTAGTGCATGAAAAGTAATTATTACTCTGAAATATTATGTCTCATAATGATATGTTTGTGCATTTGTCTCAGTAACGTGTGGAAGTGCTGTGTCTGAATACAAAACATTTAAGTGCAGAAACATGCTCGTCTGGAGACTCATTCGTTAAAAGCTGTGGTAACATACAAGGTTTCACCACATGGAGGCGCACTAGATCTCCTATTAGCAGGTGTGAGGTTGAAATGAAACACACACACACACATCCTGATGACTCATAACCTATGTATATGTCGATGCTCATAACTAGTGCAGCAGCCTTTTTTCTTTCCTTTTCTAAACCACCAGAGGGGATCAGGATATTGTGCTTCCTGTCTAGAAAACATGGAGGATCACTGGTATTAAAATGTATTTCCATGTTCGTGTGTTACAGCTGTTGCTGTCTGTCCCAGAAAACTGACTCAGCAGAGGACAATCAGTGCTTTGCCTCCTCCTCCTACCTGCACAGCAGCACTCACTTGGGCTGATCACCTCCTGAGCAACATAAAAAGGAGAGCTGCCAGGAGGAAGGGAGAGGCTGGATCTGTGCACGTTCTCTCATGTGCGCCATTTGTTGGTGTTGTAATGGCTTTTAATGGGTTTTAGTTGTTTAAACTTGGTGAAGCTTAACAACTTTTAGAGGTTTTTAACAGACGATGGACCAGAGTGCTGGTTTCCTCTTGGCTCCCAAACTTGTGCTTAAGTCAGTGGACTTTTTGTGAATGCTTGGGAGCATTCGGATGTCTGTTTTAAACGCAAACCCTTGGCCATTTTAACAGTGCGTTTTAAATACTTTTAGATTTGGAGCTTTTTGTCATTTTAAAATCCTTTAATAAAATCATTGTTTACCATTCTAACACCTGAAACACATGCCACTGTGTCACTCCCTGTCCTCCTTATCCACCGATAGAAGACGTAACATCGTGTGTTTCGGTTTCACCCATGTGCGATATCAGATGTTGATCTGTACAGATTTTCTTCAAAATGAGCACATGAGCTATCTGCCAGTGATCTAACAACCCAGTCGTCTGGGGTTTTCCTTTCCAAGCAAGTGTTAACATTTGTATTCATTTATCCATCCCCTGTCACTTATGATGTTGTTTAGATGGAATTATACGTCTCATGCTCCCACTTGCAGAGAGATGATGGCTGTGTTTGCCTCCCTTCTGTCTCAGCTCTGAACTCGTCCTGTTGTACATCTGGATGTGACAGGAAGTGTTATTGGCGTATGCATAAAAGACCTCAAAGCAGCACTTGACCTGAGAAACCTGTAAAGCAAAGATGTTTCCTCTCACCGCTCTGGGAGAACGATCACATCTGATGGAAATCTTCAAGGCGTAGTGTTAGTGGAAGTGGAGCAGTGAGCACAATGCATGGTGCCTCATTAAGTGGATTTTTAATAATCCAGTCATATTGTCCAGATTGTGTTCTTCAAAGTGATCTCAACGTAGGCTTGAGCATGCAGAAAAACCTCTTGTTAAACACAAAAGCCTGCAACGCACACACGGGCAGGAAGGGATCTTTGCACGTATTTTGACCTCCTCATCACACATAACTTCCCTTCCTTTAAAACAACAAAAACAAACATTTTTGGTTCCTTATCATGGAGCTCAACTGGAGAAGTGTGTGTGTGTGTGTGTGTGTGTAAACCCTGACAGTGTGCAGGCTGTTTGTGGGAGGCAGCTGCTAGTGAATGGAATGCATGTGAATGTATGAACAGGTTTAGCTCTAATTCAGTCTCCAAGGTAGTCTGCACATCTGTATTCCCTCATCCCACCCCATGTGCGCACATGGATGAAATGCAATCTCACCACAAGCACCATCATGCACACCAGCAGTAGCCACAGAAAGCTGTCTCTGATCTCAAAGGAGATGCGTGTAGTGGAGTTTGGGAGTGAATGGATTTCACCTCAAGAATAAAAAACTATCTAATCTGTCAGCATCCTTCTATCCTGAAGCTTTCTGCAAAAAGGCATCATGGGTTAAAGTTGCAGGATTAAGATGTGCAGATGCAGCCCTGGCGTGCACACATCATTCATGCGATGAGGGCATTCTGACCCTGACACTACAGGAGCTCCAACAGGCCTGTTTAGGATTTGTTTGTTTGCTTTCTGAAAACATGTTGTGTTTGTGTCAAAAAGAGGCTCAACGTAACCAAACGAGGTGCATAATAGGAACCAAGGAGCAACCCAAGTAAAGATCTACTAAATTATCCAATTAGGATTATGAAATAATCATTGATACAAAATTAAGGCCTACCTCAATGACTAACAGAAGGAAGGCAAAAGGATCAAAATGAAATTGTCTTAAAAGTAAGGTCAACAACTATAGCTTGTATTCCAAACTGATTATGGTGTTTCAGAAAAAAATACAGAATAAAGTAAAACAACACAGCACAAGTCCCAAAATAATTCTACAGAAAATCGCTGCCTGTAATGTCACGTTTGTCTGAAAACTTCCTCAAAGTCATTTTACGTAGTTTACGGTTTTAACGTAGCATCTACTTCATTCATGCCAAGTTGGGCATGTATATGTACAGTCTATGGTACAGACGCAAGAGAACTCAACTCTGCCCCCTGGTCGCAGCCTTTGGTATAACAACTGTTCCGTCTGAGCAGAATGGATCAGAAATCGATCAGCGGTCCTCTTCTACCAACTAAATAACGCCAACGTCATAAACCACGTGTCCCAGGCAGGGCACCGTTGTAGAAGAGTAGAAGCAGTAGTAGTGCACGTAGGTGCGTGCGCATGCTTGTCGACGTCCTTTATGACGTCACGCACAGCACTTCACACCAGACACTCGACGCAGCAACAGGTAAGACTCAGCTCAGAACGACATGTCTACGTTTGACAACATGAGTGGAAATATGAATGTTGAAGCTCTTCTCAGAGTGCCTAAACCAGATCTGATAGATGAACTCTTGAGATATATGGCAGAAAATAAAACACTTGAAGACAAGCTCTTCACAATGAAGAATAAACATGAAGACAATATTTCTGCAGTCACCTCAGAATTGAAACAATGTCATCACGACCAATTGTTAGAGAGAGATAAACAAATTAATTTACTTAAGGATGACGTTAGGAGGAAACACAAAAAAATATTGAAATTACAAGACGAATATCGAATGTTAGGGATTAACTTGAAAGAGTCAGAGAAGGAACTCTTCGAAGTTAAGCAACAGAGAGACGCCGCTGGATTACTGGAGTTTGAAATTCATGATTTACAAAACAAGATTACTTTTCTGACAGAAGACAACGAGGAAGTGTTGAAAAATAAACACGAGTTAGATGTTAGAATGCATCACGTGGACCAATGTCACACTGAGGCCCAAACCAAGATTTTAGAACTAGAAGAACAATTACAAAATGAAACTACCAGCCGCATCCAGGCAGACACATTGATCGAGATGTTGAAGCCTTTCGAACATAAAGCCAGCTATTTGGAAATCGAAAATGAGTTACTGAGAGATGAGATACACAACCTAACAAACAAATCTGCTGAACACATCAACCAGATTAATCTTTTGACTGAAAAAACCAACGAGCAGCAAATGAAACTTAACTTTCACCATGAATACTGTGGAAAGAGATTACAAGCCTCCCAGATACATCAAAATGATCAGATGGTTGAACTAAAAACAGAGTTACACACTTCTCAGATGAACTGTCGGATAGCCCAAAACGAACTTGGCGAATACAAGCATTTTAACAATGTCCTTTCAGATGAATTGTCAAACGCCAATCAAGAAATAAGTAAATTAGAAAATGATATCCATAAATCTGAACATACGAAGTGGCTGGACTCAAGAACTCAGGATCGGAAGGCTCATAGAGATAAGTGTGATGCTTTGGAGAAACAACTGCAGCATGCGATGATGGAGTTGGAACGTGCAACGGAGCAAATGAAACGCTCAGCTAATGAAGACAGAATAAGAACTAACGAAATGAAAAAGTTAGAAGAAGATAAAAGAGAATTATCAAAGCAGCTGGAGTTGAGGAGAGCACAGATTCTTGAACTAAATGGTAAATTACAACAGAGTAATCATAAGTTAGAAACCAACAAAACGTTTGCAACACGCGAAAAAAGGCTTCTTGAGCGGCGCTGGAGAATAAAGGAGAATATGCTTGTGGCAAATCCGTCTTCTGCTCAGGAAGGCAACCCAGATAACCAGCCTGGATGCTCGACTCGTTTCAGGAATCACGTTGTCTTGCCCTCTAAAGCACCCAAAAGGAAAGGTAATCCCCTTCCTCTGATAAATAAGTAAGTCCCTCTAGATTTTACGCAACACATCACGAGAAGACTAACAAAAACACCTTAGAACATCTCTGAATGAGGTCCATTAGATAGCTAGAAGATGTTAGAACATATCAATACTCGGACAAATCATGTGTTGAAAACTTAGTGACATCATAAAGGAAAAGGGGAAGTGCCATAGATGGAAAGTTTACTCTGAATTCACTCCACCCAGCTGTGGAGACGATAACCAGTAGGGTTATTGAGAATAACACGGATCACCTTACAGGTGGAGATCAGCAGAGCCAGCATTACTGAAGGCTTGTTGTTTTTTGAATTAGCTAAAAAAATGAGGCAACACAAGAATTATGTCACAGCTGACACCGTCCAAATCCTGTCTGTGACTCTTTGTGCTGCCTGGGGGTTTTCTCTGGGAGCTCCAGTTCACCCCCGTCTAAAATCCCACATCCTAAAGCGGTTATCTTCAGATTTTAGTTAAGGTTCAGGTAAACTATAACCAGAATACATATTTCATCATTTTACTGTAGATTTTTGGAGAGACTGCAGGTCAAAGAGCAGTAAAACACCTATGTAGGATAAGTGTTTGTGTCATTTTCAGGAATTTGTTTCTCCAAACAGCTGAGAGGCGGCGCCAAACTCTCCACCTCTCTCTCAGGGCGTTCAGGCTCTATGCTGCAAGAGATCTCTCACCAGATAGAAAGTCTTAACTCTGAATACAGAGGTGACAGCTGTGGAGACGATAAGCAGGAGTGTGTGAATGTAGATTCAGTTTTGATATGAACTCTTGAGTAAGATTAAACTTTTAGATGATAGATTCAGGGGTATTCAATCCCAGGTCTGGAGGGCCGGTATCCAGCACGTTTAGTTTTAACCCCGCCTCAGCACACCTGATTTCACAACACATTCTCACCAAGGTGACCAAGCGTTTCTGCAGAGCCTGATGAGCGTCTGCACAGGTGATTCAACCGCTGAATCTAGTGTGTTGGAGCAGAGAAACCACAAAAACGGAATGTGTACGGGCCTTCCAGGCCTGGAATTGAATTGAATATCCGTGTTAAATTGATAGATAAAATATTTATTAATGAAATAATAAAAGAATAACGCCATTACTAATTCACGATTTAAAGTAGAGAAACTGTGCAAATGATAATTGTTTTGGCTCTTTAAAGAGTAACTTGCAGGTTAGAGACTCCCATGAACCGATGTTTAGAGAAACTTAATAGAAACTCGTCTTAAACATTTTTTAACACATACATAAATTATTTAGGCTTTTAGAGTCATTTTTGTGGGAAAGGTTTTTTTGGGCCAAACAAAGTGATGTCGGCTGAGTCCTGTTAGCTTAATCCAGAGAAAATAATGGACTAATGCCGGCTCTGACACAGAGGAAACTTTAAATCAGGGGTGGGGAACCCTGGTCCATCGAGGGCCGCTATCCAGCATATTTTAGTTTCAACCCTGCATCATCACACCTGATTTCAATCAGCACGTGTCTTGTGAGTTAACGATGCTAGCTTAAACTCATGTGCTAACACCACAATCTGTCAGCTGTCCCATATTCATTAATATCCGTTCACGTTTAGTACTTATAGAGATGCCTGTGATCCGGTGTTGTGCCATAAATCGACTGGCTGCCAAAAAATGATTAGCCACCGTGGGATCACGCACGGTTAGGGTAATTGCATTTCTAGTCGAAATTCCCCAGGATTTCGCCTTAAAACTCAGCATATCTAGCAATATGGACATTGAGAAAGCAGGGATAACCTCGTCCGGTACTTAAACAGATGTTTATCGTGGATATTAGTTTTTCCAGTTCGGAAGTTGTTTTAAGTGTTGCTATTTGTCCTAAACGTTCACAATGAGGACATATTAATCCTTTTTGCAATATTTGCGATTGAAAGGTGGTTTGTGGTGGTCACATGTAAAGGGTTAAATTGACTTAAATATTGTTGTGTGTCGGGGTGAGTACTCCTCCTTCTCTACAACATCTTTGTGAGATCTTCATTCCAGGAGAGGGCACTCACCAGCTGCGGAGCATTACCAATCAGCGGCAGCTGCAGATCCTCAGATCAACCGCAGCAGAGCTCTATTTAAGAGGAGAGGGAACTACTTCACATCGCTGGATGATTAGCTACTCACGGTAGTATCTTGCCACTCTCAAGTCTTAGGTTATGCTTGGTCTCTGCTCAGACATTTTGCTGTCACAGTATTTGGATTTTTTCGTGGATTCTTGTGTTTGGACCATTTTGGACTCAAGTTTGTATTCCTCTTCAGGATACTTGGAAACGCTGAACCATTGATGGAATATACCTACCTGGAACTCACCATAACCCGCCTGGACAACAACTCTCACGGTTCGCCTCTCCTCCTGTTCCTCCTATCCTCTGCCGCCATCGTCTGGCTCCCTCTCCTGGACGCACCCCGTCACACCATCTGCCCTCCCTACTGACTCCTGGACTCTTTCTGGCTTCATTGAACTTGGATATCTCCAGGACACTTTTAGTTAGGTTTAATAAATCATTGTTTGAACTTTCTGCCGTTGTTGTGATGATTCTTCATGTCGTGGGTTAAACACCTTCCCAGGGACATGACAAATATTACTTTATTATCTCTTGATGTTATTAGTCTTATCACAGGACGCTGGGTGTCTTCCACATTCATAAACACCCCAAAGATGTCAAAAAAAATTAAAAAGTTGTTTTCATTTTTAACCTTTAAAAATATAAGCTGTAGATCAATTTTGTCTAGAAATGCAATTACCCTAACCGTGCGCGACCCCGCGGTAGCTATTCATTTTTTGGCAGCCAGTCGATTTATGGCACAACACCGGTTCTGGGGATCATGCGGGCTTCTTTTAGTTGGATTTGACCCAGCCACCCATTCAACTTGGTATTTTTAAAAGTCGCGCATCCTCTCCTGGCGGTCCAGGCGGCCGTTCTGATGTGGTTTCGACCCAGAAACCAGCTGACCCGCATGTCTCTTCTGGTGGTCGGTTCTAAGCTGGTTCTGATGGCGGGTTAGGGTTACCCTAACCTACCCGGTACCGACCGATGTGGGCTACAGAAGTCAGTCTTTTCAGCTGCGCAAAACGCCCTCAGGCAAAAGGTGCTTCACATCCATGATGCGTTCACATAGTGACTGCTGCTATTAAACGAGTGCAGTTAGCCTGAACCACCATGTGACTAGCTAGAGTAGATGGCAGAAATGATGAAGGTGCTGGTTAAACCTTTGTCTCAGAATGTGCGGCTGTCAGTTTGTTTGAATGCTAACATGAAGGGACCTCAGAATAAAAGCTCTGGAAGGTTCTTTTCTTATATTTATATCATAGTTCTTTATTGTGTTTACACTGTCTTCTTTAGTGGAGTTTATAAACGTACCAGATGACTAAACAGCAGATACGAGGGTTTGACTCCCACCCACCCCTAAAGCTGCTCTTTTGCTTCTGTAGATGGAGCTGATGCAGCAGAGTCAGGTGAAGGCTGAAATCCAGTCCCTGGCCTCCATAGCTCCTGACTTCCTCACCAACATCTACCTCCCTAATAAGCTCCGCTATGGAGGCTGGGTGTGAAGATGCTGCGCCCTGGTGGAAGAGCTAGAGAAGGTCTGACTCGGGTTCTACTTCTGCATGGATCTGCTGAGGCTGAAAATGATTATCGGTGGTTGTGTGGATTCTTGATCTGTGTCCACTTTTCCATTATCACAATAAGAGCTTTGTCAGGATATTTAAAGTTTGCTTCCTCTTCCGGGGTCACTGGTGAACACATTTTGATTAATCTGGAGACTATTAAATAAATAAGGAGAGGGATTTATAAGCGAGGGCTTCATCCCACTCCCCTTGAACATGTTTCTCATTTGTACCATTTTTTCTTTTTCTTTACTTCTCATAGCTTGCTTTACTTTATCAGAATTGATATTCAGAGTTGGGACCAGGTGAAGAATAAAAATAAACCCACTTTAGTTTGTTTTTTGACCCGTGAAAACAGGTTTAGTCTGAGGAGTTTTGGGTTAATCTACGTTTAAGTAACTACATGAACATCAGGCTAGTGGTTGTTTTACTGGGGTTAAATGTTAAATGTGGGAGGAGTTTTTCACCATCTAATTCACCAGGAAATAACCATCATTTGCAGACACGAAAACCATCTGTCTGGCCTCCAAATCCAGAAAGTTCTGCTCCGTTCTTGTTTTCGTACAAGAAGACAAAACATTCTCACCCAAGGCCTCATGCAGACTCCTGCATTTTCACTCTGAGGAAGTCATCCTGAATTATAAATAACTTTACAGCTCATAAGTTGGAATAATCATATGTGTTGAAGGAACAAGATGTTTAAGTCAAATGTTTGTGTTTATAAAATTTAAGTTCAACGTTTTGGATACGTACTGTTATTTTAATAAAAACGAATAAAGGCGCAGTGCAGCACATTGACACAGACTAAATTCAATCAGAGTGTAACGTCATGATTATAGGGTTGGGCATCGAGCATTGAGCATCGATTGGAACCGGTTCCAGCGAGGCGCGTTGCAAGATTTTCAAAAGTGTGGGGGATGTTGTCTGTGCCTAAAATAAGTTCATGTTATTCATCTTGTTAGTTTAATTTCCGTAATAGCGGAGCTGGTGCAAATTTTAGACGCGTCACGCATGTCTCCGTTTTAAACATGTTTAAACTGTTCAGAATACAAATCCAGGCTCTGTCTCGTTAAACTGGTGTAACTAAAGTTTGTACTGAATGAAACTTTACACTAAACCATGTTGATAAGAAAAGGATCCGATTAAATCGATTTCCCCTCATTTACAGTCAGGAAGTACAGCGCAGTGCGCATGGCTCTGGGGTTTATCAAGTTTAATTGTTTCTCTTTGCAACAATCTTCACAAGAAGGCAAAACAGTTAAATGGCAAGTTACAGATATTTCCATTTGACTGTTTATTTTGACAGATAAACTCAAGGATGCTGGTTGTTTTGAAAGAATTACCCCGATGCACACTGATGCGCAGATGAGCTGACATTTTAATCGTTACACACATCGCAGAGGTAACTAAATCCATCAAGAAAAGATTCCCATCAGAACATCAGAGCTTTATACTGGACACTGTGCTCAGCGCGGATCGGAGCGCACACGGTGGACAGTGAGCTGAAGATCTGTAGAGGGGTTCGCAGCGCAGAACCACAGCGATGCGGTAAGATTTCCTCCCACTGAAACGGTCTGGAAACCCGGTCTCTCTGAGGGATGTGTCACTTGGAAAAATGTTCACTGATTATGAAACTTTGGCTGAATAGTGCTTGTTCCCGTCTCTAATATGGAGACGCATGACGCATCCAGTCTGAGGCAGAATAGCCTCTTCAGCTCAGAAAGCACCTGTAGAGACATTTGATCACGCACAAAGTTTATGTGGAGCAGAAGCGGTCGGGCCACGGCAGGTGAAATGTTCCTAGCCTACATGAAGTGTAACGGTTTAATTGTAACATTAATATGTTACTGGACACACTGGTCTGGTTGGTTAGACCAGTGTTTGAAGTGGAAAACACACACACGCACGCACACACACGCACACACACACACGCACACACACACACACCAATTAAATAATGCTGATAGCATGGACTAGAAGACAGGTGATGGTTTACGTATTTAAATGATGATCAGGCTGCTGTAAAATGTAATCTCTATCCACATCAGACTTATCCTCTATTCTTTCTCTATTTGCTCTGCTGTCTGGGCTGACCTACCTGATGGTGCGTGCGGCGCATCTAGCGGCTGTGATGCACATTTTACGCATTTGGAGAGGTGGGTTGGATGCTTTGCTTTACTGGAAGATGGATTTTTTTTTCAAAAATGTCAGAGATTTTGCCCCATGAATAACCGTTAAAACCACCGGTGTGCATGTACCCTTATGAAAGAGTCCTACGTTGAGAGGTAAATATTAGAAGTGCAGGTAATGCATTCTGGTGCCTATAAATGAAAAATGAATGAAACATATCTATATAAAAAGGCTGCGCAGCGGCACAGTCGTTAGAGCTTTTGCCTTGCAGCAAGAAGGTCCTGGGTTCGCTTCCCGGCCTGGGAACTTTCTGCATGGAGTTGGCATGTTCTCCCTGTGCATGCATGGGTTCTCTTCAGGTACTCCAGCTTCCTCCCACAGTTCAAAAACACGACTGTTAGGTTGATTGGTCTGTCTAAATTGTCCCTAGGTGTGTGTGTGTGTGTGTGTGTGTGTGTGTGTGTGTGTGTGTGTGTGTGTGTGTGTGTGATTGTTTGTCTTGTGTGTCTCTGTGTTGCCCTGCGATGGACTGGCTCTCTGTCAAGGATATACCCCGCCTGATTGCCCGTTGACCGCTGGAGATAGGCACCAGCCCCCACCCCCCCATTCGCAACCCTGCATGGACAAGCAGGTTCAGAAAATGGATGGATGGATCTATATAAAAATAACAAAAATACAGAGAACAAATAGATTAAACATACTCAACAATCAACTTCTTGTATAATTCTATTTAACCCAGCTCATCAACATAATGATCCAGTAGATGTTTTTTGTAGCTCTTGATTTACCTTTACACATTTTTTGCAGCATGGATAGTGATTGTAGATTACTCAGGTATGTGTTTCCCCAAACTTCCACACAGTAATTCAAGTATGGCATTACCAGTGATGAAAACAGATTTATCCTAAAGATATAATTTCGTATGTCTCAAATTTGACTCAAAAAGTTTATTTTGAAATCACAGGTTGGTGCGGTTTCATAGTTCGCACCATTTAATTCCTGGTGGTTTTAGCCGCGCTTCCATGCGGGCGGAGTCTAGTAGCAATAAATACCTCGAATGTTAAAAATAGAAAAGGCCACATTGGTCAAACATTCATGCAAGCTATTTGAGATGTTAATATTGTTTTATATTGCATCTGTTTCTATTAGCGAAGTTTCCCCTCTCAGTTGATCACAAATACAACTTCCTCCCCGCTCGTTTTGACTTCCGCCCGGCGAATCAAAAGAAGCAAACCCTACCATCGACATAAATATACTGGACATCTCCATTCCAAAGTCAAACCAGGGCCAAAAACTTAACGCTTTATAGTCTTACTTTATTCACAGAAAACCTTGAGTTCCATTCAAGTTGAACTCTGTAATGTTATTTTAGTTTAGGAAAATAAATAAAACGTTTTCATGGTACTTCCTGTTATTAGTGACGTAGTTGTCGCAGTTGTTTGTCATCACTGTTTCTTTCGAGTTTTCCCGCGCTGTCCTTAGCTAACTAAGCTGTCAGCCTGACTGAAGAGCAGCAGTAACATATACCTAGCTGCACATTAGCTTGGCTTTACTACATTATAATGCCATCTTCAGACTACGACTCCGCTTGTCTGCCGGACTTATTACCGCTGTACTACCGACGACTGTTCCCCTTCTACCAGTATTACCGCTGGCTTACCTACGGAGGAGGTAACTTCACAAACAGACCAGAACCACGAGCAAGCGTCAGACCGGGCTGTTAGCTTGTCTTCTGTGATTTAACTAGCTATATATGTAACTAGGCTAGCTAGCCTTCTATGCTGAACTTCAGGGTTTGTGGATTTTACGTTTGCTTCCCCCTGTGTAACATTTGAGATGTATTTACAACTGTTACAGAGCTTTTCAGAGCGTTTGACTTATGTTACGTTTAAACAAGGATCCACTTTAGTAAGACAGCTGCTAATTTATTTAAGGAAAGCAGCTTGTTCCCAGTATTCAAGAGTTGATGAAGACCTGAAAAAAACAACAATAAAGCCTGGGTAGTTAAACGTCACCGTATTTTATTGCACTGATAAATTCAGATAAGATTAAGTAAAATTTTTCTGGAAGACGTTGATTTTATTAGTAATGAAACTTTACAGCGATTATTTTATATGTGATATTTACACAAAAGTTTGTCACTCATTAGAAAAGAGACAGATTTTGCTTGATTACCTTTATGAAATAAACACATACGGTGTTTATTTGTCCATTTTCCCACATTCTCAGTGCAGAAGAACTACTTCCAAAACCGAGAGTTCTGCTTCACGCTCAAAGATGACATCTACGTGCGCTACCAGTCTTTCAGCACGCTGAACGAGCTGGAGAAGGAAATGCAGAAGATGAACCCTTATAAGATTGATATTGGAGCAGTGTACAGTCACAGGGTAAGACTTTATTCTGGATCAAATCATGTTTACTATCGTGTAAGTGTAGTAAAGTCACTGTTTGTCATCAACAGCCTAATCAACACAACACGGTGAAGTCCGGCAGCTTCCAAGCTCTAGAGAAGGAACTTGTGTTTGATATTGATATGACAGATTATGATGATGTCCGAAGCTGCTGCAGGTGATTATTTCTAGTTCTGAGTCTGTTCAGAGTGTTCTGGAGGACAATCTACCAAAATGACCTTTTCAAACTTCGATCCAGTGCTGCAGACATTTGCACCAAGTGCTGGACGCTGATGACCATTGCTATCCGCATCTTGGACAGAGCGCTCAGAGGTGTGTCCCTGGTCTTATGTCAGGCATGTGTTTATTTTGAATCAAATCAGATTGACATTTTTTATGTTTCTCCCAGAGGACTTTGGCTTTCAGCACCTGCTGTGGGTTTATTCTGGCAGAAGGGGAGTTCATTGTTGGGTGTGTGATGAAGCTGCCCGGAAGCTCTCTGCTGCAGCACGCTCTGCTGTGGCTGAATATCTCAGCCTGATCAAGGTAGCAATGGTTTTACCGGTATTAGGTGATTTTAAAGCAAAACTCCAAGATTATTTAAGTCTTTTAAGCAGTCCTAGAATTTAAAACCACATTTATCTGGTTGTTGTTGTTGGATAAAGGCAGCTTGGGGTGTCTAGTGTAGCATACCAAAATGTCTGTGCTGTTGCTGACCTACTTTCCTATGTAAATTAATAATGCTGTAACAGCCACAGAGAAATGGTTCGTTTGGAGAAAAGCTGGTTTAACACGTCATTAGCACGGCACACACCCTAAAATCTGCAGGTCCCAACCTAATCATTGGTCATGATTAGGGGTGTGATGGTTCACGGGGCGGTGTTGAACCGTTTCAGTTTGGTCCACTTGCGTATTGTTTTGGTTTAACAAAGAAGAATGTTGGAGCACCAATCACATTCCAGGATATAATGGGAGTATCCAGATTGTGAATGAATGAATGCTAGATTAATCCATAGCCTGCAATCTGGTCTAACAGAGTACAGCCACACACACACACACACACACACACACACACACACAGACAGATAGGCAGATCGATCCACATCTTGCAGTCCTTGTTCTCCTGCTTGTTTATCTGCAAAACCCGCTCCTCAACCCATTTGAATCTCTCTTTGGAAAACACTCACTTCTTTACTCGTTTGTCTGCACTGATAGTAACACACACACACACACACACACACACAGGTCACAGACTTACTTGCTTCAAGAAATAAAGCTATTGGGGTGCGTTGGTCAATTTTTCTGGGTTCCTGAGCCCCAACAAAGTTTCATGGGATATATTAAGGCTCAAATAATAGTTTCCAATCGTTAAAAAAAATTACTTTTATCTAGAACCCCTTTAAAGTTCAAATTCAAAGCCACTTAACAGCTGCTCCCATAACTAAAAGCTGCTTATTTACTGGTTTCTGACTAACATACAGTACAGTTGTATGTCCAGATGTGATTTCTAAATGTAACCTTTTAGGGTGGTGAAGATACTGTGAAGAAAGTAGTGCTGACAGATCCAATTCACCCCTTTATCAGGTAAATATACGTTTGACTGTTGTTTTTGTCATTGCTGCTTCTGTTTGTGGCTTCAGCTGTGTCTAATCCCACCAGAGAGTCTTTGGCAGTGGTGGAGCACTTCTTCCCTCAATACGCGCTGCAGGATCAGGACATACTGGCCCGCAAAGAGTCTGTAGACAAAGTCCTGGCTCTAGTTCCTGATGATATCCTTTCTCTAACGTGCTTGCTCAGTAATTTCCTGAATATGAAAACCAGCTGAATTGATATGATTTTTAAAAAGCAGTGATAATTATGAGGCCTTAATTTGTTCTGTACATGTAAAAAAAGAGTTACAGCAGGACTTCCAGAATGAGAAGAAATCAGATGTTCGTTGGAAACTGATCAAAGACCAAGCCCGAAAGAAACAGGTTGGTCTTCGTGGTTGTTCTAGTAAATAAAATTCTGTGTATTTATATAGCACCAGGTCACGCTGAGTCCTCTCATTGCACTTCACAAAGTTAACCGTTGAGTTCAGTTCATTATGCCAGTTAGTGAAGTTTCCTACAAAAGGAAGTCCTTTCAGAAATGCAACAAAAACTTAATAATGTTCCTGATCATTATTTTGTTTGTTTTTATATTTAAAAAAACAACAACTGTTGTTTGTAGTAGTCGGTTCAGATGAATGCTTCTCAAATTGTGCTGCATCCACAGCGTGCCAGTGTCAGCAGGTTCAGGCTTGCTGGCAGCCTTACATTCAGCAAGTGCAAGGCTGCAAAATCCCTTTTCTTCCTAATGTAAATATTTGTTTAAATATGTCTGAAGTCAAAGTTTTGATAAATTAAATGTAGTTTTCATTGAATTTTTGAAAGTGTATTTTATGGGAACTAGTTTTGTAAACCATATGAAATTTAAAAAGTAATATTCATAATTTTACCGATTAGTGAGCATTAAAGGGATACTTTGCAACTTTTTCATTTTTTAAATAATTTTCTTGAGTGGGTATGTGCTAAAATGACCCTTTACAGCTGGACTATTCAATTCCGTGCCTCGAGGGCCGGTATCCGGCACGTTTTAGTGGTTTCTCTGCTCCAACACATTTAGTTCAGCTCATCAGGCTCTGCAGAAACCTGTTAATTACCTGGCGATTGAAATCACGTGTTGAAGAAGAGTTAAAACTAAAATGTGCTGATACCGGCCCTCGAGGCACGGAATTGAATACAACTGCTTTACAGAGTTGGTGAAAAATCACTCAGACCCCTTGCTATTTCAGAGTTGCCGGCCAGTCTGGTCCTTGTTAGTCTCAAAGCAGCACATTTCCTGCATGTTTTAGATCGCTAACACAGCTGATTTGTTTGATTTAGGCATGAATTTCTCCTGTAGAAACCAAGGAAGGAGACGTTTCAGCGGTTAGATTAAGATGTTAAAAAGGTGATTTTGCTTTGACTGACAGAACACCAGATGGCGGTGAAAGCCAGCAAAACTGCTTAGTATTAATTTAACAGTCTTGCTCCTCCTAGTCTACAGCTAAAAAGGGCCAACACTTTGACAAAGAGATCATGCTGCAGTACTGCTACCCTCGGCTTGATGTGAACGTCAGTAAAGGTGTGAGCCACTTACTGAAGAGCCCCTTTAGTGTTCATCCCAAAACAGGTGAGTTGGGTCTGAAAACACACAGTGACCTGTTTTCTCTACCAGCTGTTAGTAAAACCAGCTCTGCTCCTGAATAGGACGTGTCTCAGTTCCCATCGACTTGAGGGAGTTGGACAGCTTTGATCCTTTCGCTGTTCCCACCATCAGGTCAGTCGTCTCTGTGCTGTTTTGTGACCAGGCTGCAACCCACAGAAACTGATTTTATTTTATTGTTTTAAGTCTGATCTGTGAGGAGTTGGATCGACCCAAAACTGGGGAGGAAGAAGAAAAAGTGGAGGATGCCACAGAGAAGGAAGATGAGAGAGACGCCTCAGAGAAGCGGAGGATCAGAGGTGCCGTAAAAACACCAAAAATCTAACTTTCCCCTCACATTTATTCAAAGATCTTTCATCATTAACAGGACATAATTGTGAAGATATCTCTGCTGATCATCTGGTTAGGAGATCTCCTTTCCCCCCAGCTAGTTTCAGATTAAGAGTTTTATTAATTCATCTTAGATTTAGGAATTGAGAAACTTTGGACTACTCCTAGATTAAACGGATTATCAACATCTTCAGGTTTTCAGGTGATTTTGATATCCAATTTTCTTAAAGAGAAAATTGCAGGTTAATTTATTTTTTAATTAATATAAAATGCTGTCCAAAAACACTATTTGAAATGCTTATTGTGGATATTTCATTTTAAAATACATAACAGCAGTTTTCTAGTAAAAAGTGGCCTTTCTCAGCAAAGCTTCTAACAAAAGCTCTTTTTTCTAAATCTGAACCTCTGACGTAACCAAAGGAGTTAGAGGCTCGGTGCTGCCTCAGCTCTGTGTGAGAGTGAGTAGTTTCTGGGTAGAGAGGTCATGTTATCCAGCCAGTGTGTGTGTTTGCTAGATCTGGATTGTGTTCATTTTGATAAACTATAGTTTGTGAAGGCTGTACCAACTCCAGCCTGTCTGGACATCAAGTCCACGGGTTTCCAGACAAGAGAAACAACGCCTCTATCTCCATGCCTGAGGGCGTTTTGTGCAGCTGAAAAGACGGACTTCTGTAGCGCACATCGGTCGGTACCGGGAGGTCCGCACTGGGCTCTAGAGACCCTTGGCAGGGTTTAAAAAATTAAATGCGGATATCTGGAGGTTGGATCACCGTCAGAACCAGGTTAGAACCGACCACCAGAACAGACGTGCGGCTCAGCGGGCCAGCTGGTTTCTGGGTCGGATCCACATCAGAACTGCTGCCTCAGGAAAGGATCATGTGCAGCTTTTAAAAATACCAGCTCGACTGGCTCGCTGGTGTCTGGGTCAGATCCAGCTACTGTTTTAATTGTCTGGTACATAATAGTTATCTGTACAATGTTGTGAAATTAGCACACGAGTTTAAGCTAGCATCGTTAAGCTGCTCCCCCGCTGTTGTCACATCGCTGCTCAATCTCTCTGCTTTGGCTGATTGGTTCTCCCTCTGGTTTGTCTCTGCTCTCTGGGGCATGCAGCAAACTCATAACCTTATGGTTTTGGTCCATCAGAAGTATGATTATAAACATTTATAGTTTCCTCTGTGTCAGAGCTGGCATTAGAATCCATATTTTTCTCTGGATGAAGCTAACAAATCTCCCTCAGCTGACATCACTTGGTTTGGCAAAAAAAAAAAATTCTCACAAAAATTACTCTAAAAGCCTAAATTATTTATGTATGTGTAAATAAATGTTTAAAATGAGTTTCTTTTATGTTTCTTTAAACATTGGTTCATGGGAGTCTCTAACCTGCAAGTTGCTCTTTTAAGTTAAATGTGAGTGTGGTGCAGCAGGATAACTTGTCTGTTTTTGCTCCCAGATTACAAAAGAACCAGTTTGGCAAAGTATGTGAAGAACTTTGATCAGTTTCTAGAGGGGTTGGCTCGCTCATGGAAAGGAGAACTTCTCAGAAAGAGTGGTAAGAACTAGCTGTGAGAGATGAAACAAATGTCTTGAGCCTTTTATACTTTATTCTGTTTGGTTTGTTTTCCTTGTAGATCTTCAAAAAGAATTCTGAAAAGTACCAACAGTCAGAAAACAACCACTGGCTCTGGTGCAGCTGCTGATGCAAGTTTGGGACCTGCTCTGTGGTTATGTCCCTGGTCATGTTCCTGTAATAACACATTTTTACTGAAACTGTTTAATAAACGTTTCTCTTTTTAAGACTTTTGTTGCTTTAAAATCTAAATAAAAGGCGTTTCTGTTCTTGTACCACTAATTATTTTATATGCATCTATAAATCAGCTCAATTTCATTTGGCTGGGTAATAACTGAATATTTTAAAAGCATAGATTGTTATAATATAAATTACTTAGTCACTTTAAATATTTTTCTGTAAATCCCATTTATGTAGAGAACGTTTGCCCAGTGGTTTATATAATTGTTTATTTGACCATTTATTTGTTTTTACCAGATTATAGCCATGTTTACTTTTATTATTCAACTAGGTAAAACAAGTTGTGTGTACAGCAACAGTAGTATTTGTTCTGTGTTTGATTCTCGGACAATTTATGAATAGTTTAAACATCCATCTTACCTATTTTAGTGGAATGGATTATTGTAATGATTCTCAAACAAGACATCCTTTGATAATGTTAAGATATGTGGGCTCTTCTAGTGTTTTTTGAAAATTAAGCAAACATACAATTGATAAGTGAAACGACATTACGTATACATTATTAATACAGTATCAATAAGAAGAAAAGATGGCAAAGGTTTTTCTCACGTAATTGTATACAAAACTGGGTTTTAGTATTTTATAAGTGAAAGGAATTAATCTGTGAATAAAAAACTATCAAATACAAAATTACAAGCAGTGAAATAGTCTTCTACAAGGCTGCAAACCTTTGCAAAAGTATTGGAGTGCGACTTTAAATTTTAAAAGAAAAACCAAATGCAACAACCAGTAACAATAGAAATGCAGTTTGTTTTCTCTCACGTTTTCTGTCTAAATAAACTTTTATTTAGTCATAAACAGTTGTTTGATTTGACTGGTGGCCACACCAATGAAGGAATTTCTGATTTGTAGGAAGTGCTCATCAGTTTGTTTTGTTTAGCTTTATTTTAAAGCTGTAGGAACGGCTTCCGTTCGCCAGAGGGAAAATGAATAAAAGCCAGACAAAATATTTCAATAGCATTTCTATTAAAGCTATCTCATTGTGTTCACTAGATGTAGGACATTTACTGGTCTTGAAATAACTAGTAATTTTATATCTGACATGTCTGATTAGAAATTGCAAACTTATGTAAGTCAAATTATTTAACTAAAATATAGCTATCAATAACCCAATTTAATCTATTAAGATTGAAAATCCCTTTAAATCTACGAAGGACAAAAGTTTGCCTTGTTGCCAATGGGTTACTTTAGATAGCTGCTCATAGTTCATGCTTTAACTCACTGATTTAACAAATAAGTAAGATAGCTTTGGGAATTTAGATATGGAAATGGCTAATTTTATGTCTTGTTTAACTTGATGTAAACACTGTAGTAACAGTTTCCGTCTGCTGGAGGACGAAACAAAATTCTTACTCTCAAAAGCCAGACACTAAAGGATTGAGTTCTTGTGTTTCCATCAAGCTGATGTAAATAACACGTGTCTGTAGTTTGTGTTTTGTTTCAAGAACATGTGCTTTTACTTTGTTTATAAATATGTTCAATAACATTTGTAGGTGAAATGAATATATCATAAAATTTAATATTACAATTTAGAGATTTGAAGCTAAAAATTTGTACTTTGATCTATAAATAGGTTTAACACCGCATTGTTTACACGCGTGACAAGAAAAATAGTGCCTGTTCCTTTAATTGACCCGGAACTAGAACTTCCCCCACCGGATATTACAGACAAAGTGAGGTCACGGGTTCTCTCTCACAGCCATCTTGGAAACAGCGTCCTGAATCGGTGAGTTTCTCCGTTTACAATCTTGTCTCATCCAGTCGTTTCTAACACATTTCAGTATCTGTCGTTTGTTTCATTTGTCTGATTGAACTCTGTCAATCAGATTGGTAAAACTATTATTAGTATTTGATCCCGTTATCTAGAAGAAATATTCCTCTTCTGCTGATTACCGGCTCAAAATGGGGGAACATGTAAAACGCATTAGTAACTGTCTGTCTGGGCCGCAGAGAGCTGCTCAGCATGATACGTTTGCTGAGTATAAATGGCCGCTAGCTGGTTGAGTCATTAACGCGTCTAATTTGAATTAATGTATGATAAACGCGTTTATTAACTATAGACTTCTCTGCACAGGCCCGCTAGCTCAAGCTAATATTAGCCCTGTCAAGAGCTGAGCTAAAGCATGGGCTCCGTCAGCTGTTCAGCCAGTCACAGCAGCTTCAGTCTACCGACAAGAGTGGCCTCCAGATCTATCTTCACACGACTGAGACAGTTGTGCTAACAGCGTGTTTTATTTTACCTCATCCGCAGCCATGCCTAGTGAAGCAACAGACACGGTCCCAGTCACCGAGCAGGAGATGCAGCAGCCTCAAGTGGAGACCGGTTTGTATATCTTGTTTGTTTGCTGATATGGTTAATAAAGCGGGGTTTCGGCTCTTTATGAGGTTGTAATTTTCAGAATTTGCTGCAAATAGTTGAGAGGAACTTGGTATTTGGTCTTCTGTAAGGAAACCCCTCATGTCTGTGAGGTGTTTAAACAGGTGACAGTTGTTTCGTCACTGTCTTCAACCTCTTGTAGCATTAGTTGTGGTAGTATTTGCCAACTTGAAAATTGTAGGTAATATTTTGCTAATCAGTCCACAACCCCCCTTTATTTACTCAAACTCGCCGAAGCTGTGATGTGCTCTAACAGTAGGATTGTTATCTTGTTTGTGTGAGTGCATGTATTTTATATACTACACAGCAACACTGTGTACAAGTTTAGTCTTTTAGAAAGCAGTGTAGAAATATTTCCTTTGCTACTTATTTATTTTGAGTAACTAACTCAGACGAGCTCGTGAGGTCAGAGATGGTGCCTGTATGTTTATTTGGCAGACGCTTTTATCCAAAGCGACGTATGATTGTGAATCTGTAGGGCTTGTTGTGATCTGTGGGGGAAACCAGAGTACCCAGAGGAAACCCACTCATGCATGGGAAGAACATGCAACTCCACGCAGAAAGGCCGCAGCAGAGTTTCGAACCTGCAACCTTCTTGCTGCGAGGCAACAGTGGTTAAAAAATGCGACACCATGTAGATGATCGAATTCTGTAACTTATGGAAACCGTATAACTAGATTATTGGTTAGGGCGAGGTCCTTAGGAATATTTTTTGTAAATGGTACTATTGATACTTAAAGTTCATGCAATAATTCAGTGAGGCTGAAAAGAGCGACTGCTGCAGCTTTAACGCTTACTGTAGTTTAGAAAATTTGATAATTACTAGTTTTTCTGATTTTGTTCTCATGAAAAATGTTTACATTAAACTACTCCTTGTTTAGTCGACTTTGATGGTTATTAATTTCTCTACAATCTTTTGTAATTAACTTGATCCAATAGTGGTTTATTAAGCATTTGTCAATAACTGTAAAGAAGTAAAGATGCACAACTATGTTTGTTTTATTAGACAGTGTTGGACCAGACTATCAGGAGTTGTTTTGTCTTTATGCCATACACAGTTTGAGGCATTGGGTCTGTTTTTTTCAGTACAGAGTACAACTTCTAAGGCATTCATTCCTACTAGAGACCACTGCAAATGTACTGATTAAACGAGTGAGCCACACCTTTAACTGATGGCTAACACTATTGACACACTGAAAGTGTTGGAGCGCTTTAGGAAAATAGCTGAAATAATTTTACAATCTATTTTAGTTCTTGACCGTCTGGATTTGTTCAGTTGTTGTTTAGACTCAGACGAAGCTTCCTGGCTCTCAGTCACTTGGAAACTGCATGGATTTTGGATCATGCACTGCTTTCTAACTGAGCACACCCAGCATGTCCTGTCCACTTGTCTAACACCAGTGTTTTTTTATTTTTTTTCTAATAAAAATTAAAAACATTGAACAAAGCAGCTACCACTTTTTTCACCTAAGTGCTTTTATGAAGCTTAAAACATTGCTTTTTAAAATAGTTAGATATTGTCTTTTTATTTTGTTGCCTTCCATCAGTTTCAGCATGCAAGTTTCTTTGGGGCCGTAAGTGTTGCATTTCTGTCATCATGTGCACAGCCACACAAATAAATTGGATTTTCTCAAACATGGAATTGAGCATCAAGGCCTGCAGTGTGAACATAGCCGTAGAGATGTGAGCAAATAGAAGTAGTCTTTTATTTGGATAAGGGATGTATTTGCTTCTTTGACGACGTATGGCGGACTGCCCAGTTGACTGACATCTGTAGCTATGAATACATATTTGTTCCATTTGACCCTAGTGCTGTCCAATTACATATTCTAGTTGTAGTTGTCAAGGTTAAAATTGACTTTTTAAGACACTTTTGTTATTGCTTTTATATACTGCTGAAGGAGGATGCTTCTTAAACCTTATAGCACCCCAGGCTGTTTTGTTTGTGTAATGTTTGTGGTGCAGTATTCTGTGGAAGTGTTTAATGCATTGCATATTTAATCACCTTTGCCAACAGTGTAACCTAAGTACATGTAAATGAGGGTTTTCTGTGTGGAAGTACTATGTAGTGTGTTCTGTGTGCATCTAAACTTGGTATGTTTGCTCCCATTTTACATCCTAACCAAAGCACGAAGAGGGGTTTTGATTTGTGGACTTTTAAACGGCATGACCTAAGATTTATCTGGTTGGATAAAAAATTTGATAGTTTTTTTTCTGTTCAGCTACACCTCCTGCCCCAGCTTCATCCCAGCAACCTCAGGCAGCATCTGGCCCTGCTAAGCCAAAAGGCAAAGATGCCAAGAGTCCGCAGGGTTCCTCTGCCCCAAAGGCTGTCCCTGGCAGAAGAAAACGCTCTTCTCTTTCTGCCTCTTCATCTTCACCCACTTCACCCAAATCTACTCCTTCCTCCACCCCTCGCTCACCTATGCCATCACCCTTAGCTTCCCCTGCTGGTAGCACTGCAGCTAGTCAAGCTAACCGCCCTGCCCCAAAAGTTGTTAAGGCTGGCAAACAAGGAAAAGCCAAAAAAGTAGAGGCCTTTGTACCTGCTCCTGTTAAGGTGATTGATCCAAATAGAAAGCAGGAGGAACCACATCTCGATAAACTTGCAACTTCTGAAGCTAAAACTGCAAACTTTACTGCAGCTCCTGCTGCATTTAAAGTTACCTCAATGCCAGCTGTTGCAGCACCAATTTCATTTTCAGACACAATTGCTTCAAGCCCTCCAAAATCAATTGATGTGTCTAAGGAAACTCCTGTTCTGGCTGCTGCAGATGAGCTTCCTCCTCTAATTCCACCTGAGAAGTCTGGTAAAGTGCCAGTAAATGAACCTCCTACTGATAAAAAGGATGCGGATGAGTCAAAATTTCTGGGTTTGTCTCCTACCCCAGTTGAAGCCAAAATGGGTGATGAACCCAAAAAGGCTGTCGAGTCTGCCAAAGCACCAGCCCCAGCAAAAGGAGCAGTTGTGGATCCTGTCAAAGCAGCTCCAACTGAAGCTGTTAAATCAGTATCTAAGGGCAAACCTGTCCCAAGGAATACTGCTCAGGAGAAAACTGCTTCTGCTCAGGATGTTATGCCAGATGCCAAATCAAATTTTAAAATGTCTCCTAAACAAATACAGGAAACTAAAGGTTCAAGTCAAAAAGTTACTAAGTCTAATGCAACTCCCGCTCATGTTGACAAGCTAGCAGAGTTTACCAAGTCAGCTTCTGACAAAGATGTAAAATCCTGTGCTGAGCCCAAATTGGTTGAAGTTAAGGCAGCACCGGCTGAAGAATCTAAACCTGCAGCCAAGGCTTTGCCTAAACCCGCCAAACCATTGACAGAGGCCTCACCCAAACCTGTTAAACCAGAGGCCATAGTTAAATCTTCCAAACCTGCAGCTGAGGCTGAAGTACTAACTGCCAAATCCAAGGCTGTTGAAAAATCCGAGGCCGTAGCAAAGCCTGCCGCCAAATCCGAGGCCGCAGCCAAGCCTGCCGCCAAATCCGAGGCCGCAGCCAAGCCTGCCACCAAATCCGAGGCCGCAGCCAAATCCGAGGGTGCAGCCAAGCCTGCAGCCAAATCCGAGGTTGCAGCCAAGCCTGCAGCCAAATCCGAGGCCGTAGCCAAGCCTGCAGCCAAATCCGAGGCCGCAGCCAAGCCTGCAGCCAAATCCGAGGCCGCAGCCAAGCCTGCAGCCAAATCCGAGGCCGCAGCCAAGCCTGCCGCCAAATCCGAGGCCGCAGCCAAGCCTGCCGCCAAATCCGAGGCCGCAGCCAAGCCTGCCGCCAAATCCGAGGTTGCAGCCAAATCCGAGGCCGCAGCCAAGCCTGCCGCCAAATCCGAGGCCGCAGCCAAGCCTGCCGCCAAATCCGAGGCCGCAGCCAAGCCTGCCGCCAAATCCGAGGCCGCAGCCAAGCCTGCCGCCAAATCCGAGGCCGCAGCCAAGCCTGCCGCCAAATCCGAGGCCGCAGCCAAGCCTGCCGCCAAATCTGAGGCAGCAGCCAAGCCTGTGACTGAGGCGGTTGCCAAACCAGCAAAACCCGACACTGCGGCCGAGCCTGTCAAGCCCCTGGCCGAGGCTTTGCCCAAACTTGCAGTCGTGGCTTTGCCTGAACCTGCCAAAGCAGTAGCTGAGGTTGCAGTGAAGGCTTCATCTAACCCAGCAACTGAAGTTGCATCTGCTCCCATAAAACCTGCTGTTGTTGAGCCAGCTGTCCCTCCTCCCCCAGCCCCTCGTAAACTCACCTTTGCTGAAGCAGTTGCAAAGCCTGCACCTGTCAAGCCCGAAGTTGAAAAAATCAATATTTCATCCTTGAATGCCGTTGAATCTCCCAAACCTGCCCCTACACCTGATAAAACCACAGCCAAGGTGGAACCTGTGGTCAAGAACGATGATGGTATTTTCTCCTTTCTCTTGTGTGTTTTCCATTAGCTTTTCAGCTGCTTTTCCTGTAACCTCTTGCTATGCTTAGGTGCACCTTTCAAAGGAAGTATAGATTAGATTTAGTTCCAGATAAAGTGTTAGTGGTTTATTTATCTGTTCCTGGTTTGGCCAAGGTTAGCTTTGCTGGTATAATGTGGTCTTTCATAGGTTTAGATCATACACTCGTGAGAGGAGCTTGGTGAAAATTGCTTGTCATTTTTCTGTCTTGAGTCTTTAAAAGGGTGATTATAAGAGGATGCTGATTTTAAGTTACGCTGCTTTAATCAGATTCTGTTCGAACTTTTGAGTGCAGTAAGTAAATGATGTTTCATGGTGTGGTTCTTGCAGCTTGATTGTGTAAATGACTCTGGTGTTTAGTAGATAACTTTGTCTGCTGGTGGCTTTTGTAGGATCTGGCACAGAGTCGGACAGTGATGACTCCGTTCCTGAACTGGAAGAACAGGACTCTGCCCAAACACAGACACAGCAAGCCCAGGTAAGACCCCAGTCTGACCAGTCGTAATTGTTTACTGGTGTAGACTTGGATCATACTTTGTTTCAGTTTTATCAGTCCTATTCTTCAGTGATGAACAACGCAGTGACTTTTGTTCTTCTGAATTTTCTGAAGCCAGTCTTTGTGTATTGAGAGATGTGTATTGCTATAAAAATGTTTAGTCCATTCCTCTGATATACATTAAAAATGTTTCACCACAGCTTGCAGCAGCTGCTGAAATAGATGAGGAACCTGTCAGCAAAGCCAAACAGAGCCGCAGTGAAAAGAAGGCACGAAAGGTAAGGATTGTACCTCTCAGTGTTAAACTAATGCCAACTCTGCTTCACGCTTTGGCTGCATTTGCTTTTATGTTTCCAGGCAATGTCTAAGCTCGGTCTCAGGCAGGTAACAGGGGTCACCAGGGTCACCATTCGCAAGTCAAAGAACATCTTGTTTGTCATCACCAAACCAGATGTCTACAAGAGCCCTGCGTCAGACACATACATCGTCTTTGGTGAAGCCAAGGTAAACAGTCAGCAGCAGACCAAAGCAACTTGGTAGTTACTCTGAATTTTCAGCTGATATGGTGAAAATGTTGATTCTAAATTTGGTTTTGATTTTAAATCCACAGATTGAAGATCTTTCCCAGCAGGCACAGTTGGCTGCCGCAGAAAAGTTCAAAGTACAGGGAGAAGCTGTATCAAACATTCAGGAAAACACACAGACGCCCACAGTACAGGAGGAGAGCGAAGAAGAGGAGGTAAATGGTTTGATTCAGTCACTATTAATGCAACTTATGTTTTATAGTTGGGTATGCTAAGGGTCTTCGTATACTTGCTGTTTAACCTCGCGTTGGCGCAGGCTGCGTCTTTGTTCACACCATCGACATACAGGTCCTTCTCAAAAAATTGGCATATTGTGATAAAGTTCATTATTTTCTGTAATGTACTGATAAACATTCGACTTTCATATAAATATTACATTCATTACACCCAACTGAAGTAGTTCAAGCCTTTTATTGTTTCTAGTGTTGATGATTTTGGCATACAGCTCATGAAAACTCAAAATTCCTATCTCAAAAAATAGCATATTTCAGCCGACCAATAAAAGAAGTGTTTTTAATACAAAAAAAGTCAACCTTCAAATCTGTTCAGTTATGCAATCAATACTTGGTCGGGAATCCTTTTGCAGAAATGACTGCTTCAATGCGGCGTGGCATGGAGGCAATCAGCCTGTGGCAATGCTGAGGTGTTATGGAGGCCCTGGATGCTTCGATAGCTGCCTTAAGCTCATCCAGAGTGTTGGGTCTTGCGTCTCTCAGCTTTCTCTTCACAATATCCCACAGATTCTCTATGGGGTTCAGGTCAGGAGAGTTGGCAGGCCAACTGAGCACAGTAATACCATGGTCAGTAAACCATTTACCAGTGGTTTTGGAACTGTGCGCAGGTACCAGGTCATGCTGAAGAATGAAATCTTCATCTCCATAAAGCTTTTCAGCAGATGGAAGCATGAAGTGCTCCAAAATCTCCTGATAGCTAGCTGCATTGACCCTGCCCTTGATAAAACACAGTGGACCAACACCAGCAGCTGACATGGCACCCCAGACCATCACTGATTGTGGGTACTTGACACTGGACTTCAGGCATTTTGACATTTACCTCTGCCCAGTCTTCCTCCAGACTCTGGCACCGTGATTTCTGAATGACATGCAAAATTTGTTTTCATCCGAAAAAAGTACTTTGGACCACTGAGCAACAGTCCAGTGCTGCTTCTCTGTAGCCCAGGTCAGGCGCTTCTGCCGCTGTTTCTGGTTCAAAAGCGGCCTGTCCTGGGGAATGCGGCACCTGTAGCCCATTTCCTGCACACGCCTGTACACGGTGGCTCTGGATGTTTCTGCTCCAGACTCTGTCCACTGCTTTCTCAGATCCTCCAAGGTCTGGAATCGGTCCGTCTTCAGTCTTCCTCAGGGTCCGGTCACCTCTTCTCGTTGTGCAGGGTTTTCTGCCACACTTTTTCCTTCCCACAGACTTCCCACTGAGGTGCCTTGATACAGCACTCTGGGAACAGCCTATTCGTTCAGAAATTTCTTTCTGTGTCTTACCCTCTTGCTTGAGGGTGTCAATGATGGCCTTCTGGACTGCAGTCAGATTGGCAGTCTTACCCATGATTGCGGTTTTGGGTAATGAACCAGGCTGGGAGTTTTTAAAAGCCTCGGGAATCTTTTGCAGGTGTTTAGAGTTAATTAGTTGATTAGGTTAATAGCTCGTTTAGAGAACCTTTTCATGATATGCTAATTTTTTGAGATATGAATTTGGGGTTTTCATGAGCAGTATGCCAAAATCATCAATATTAGAAACAATAAAAGGCTTGAACTACTTCAGTTGTGTGTAATGAATCTAATATACCGTAAATCCTCTAATACAGGCCGGTATTCAATTAAAGGCCGGGTCTCCAATTTTGGCTGGTGCCGGAGTCAGCGGAGGTGAATAATGGCCGGTCTCTTATTGTGGCCGGGTGGAATGTGGTAACAAGCGTCTCAGCGGCAGGGTTATAGTCTCCAAATCAACCAGCAGGAGGCAGTAGAGGTTCACACAGACCTTTATCAGGCTTTTTCTTCAACGCTGTGTAACGCTACAGACACGATCCTCTATCACGCTCCTACCACACAGAGTCACGGTGTCAGTTAACCATGCTAATTCAACCCGCTCCACAGAACACACATCACCTTCCCTGTGGCTTACATAACACTCACACAACACGCAAATCAGCACATAGGAACTAGCAGAACGATAGGAAACACATATAACACAATACCCAGAATGCACCTGGCTTACAACCCCAGCCAGGTCATTACACTATCAAGTTCAAAGAGAACATGCTGATTATGCTGCAGAACACTCTGGGGAGCAGCAGTAGGGGTTGTATGAACTAGTCGACTTCACTATAGTGACTTTTTATGCCTGTCGTCGACTAGTCGCTGTCACGTGATAATGACCGGCAAGATGCAGCCCTCGGAAAATACAGCAGCCTGCTGTCAGCAGGTGACAAGCTCCTGCGCTCAGGGGGGCAACGCGCTGTGTCAGAGCATAGGTACTGACACGCGATCGTTCATGTCGGTTCATTTCCTTTAATGTTTTCTGTCTTTTATTTGCGCCTGATGCGTTTTGCTGCATGCTGTGGAGCGGGGCGCTGCGCGCATCACCTTGTCCTCCGATGCAAATTCCACTACCTCCACTCCGCTCCGACACGAACGCCGGAGCAAAATCGGTCCCGTTGTAGTCAATCAGAGCAATTCTACTACTGCGGCTGTGCTCCGGCCGTGCGCCGCCCTCTGTTCCGGCGTCCGGCAAAAATAAAATCGATCCTATTTTCGCCGGAGCACCTCCGCAGTCAATGGACAGAAATCACAACTGCCCAACAGGAAAAGGAGCAAGCACAACTTCCTTTTTTCACAATAAACCAATAAACAAAAGGCGTTTTTTGTTTCATATGCATAACAACTTTTAACAACTATCAATGGCGGCTGAACTTTAAATGCACAAAAATAAGCCATAAATACAGTTTCTACTGTCAAAGTAGTCGCCCTTTGTTGATCCAAACACTGCTGATCTCTCAACACAAATGATGGGCAGATTAAACAGTTCATTTCGATGCTTCTCCCACACAACGGGTGTTTGGATCTAACTTCCGCGTTTATTGCTCGGACTGTATGATACGGCCGCCAAGCAGGGAGCGCTCCACTGTTTTTGCGGTCGGTAGCTCTTTTAGAACTGCAGTTCAAAGGTAACTCATAAGGTCAATATATATGAACCCAGGTAGCAGTTTCTCTTTAGGATTGAGAGGAGATGCAGGAAGATAAACAGGCAGGACAGAAAAATAGTCAAATAAAAACAAGTTAGTTTTTGTACCTGGTGGTTGCAACAAACAGACACCATTGAAGGTAATCAGAAGAGAGGAACAGAAAATGAAATAATTATTTTAATGTTTAGAGCAGCAGGAACTCCGAGAGGCTGCAGGCGCATCAGTGAGTTTACGGCTGCTGCGCAGGGGGAGGGGGGAGAGGGCTGAAGCAGAAACTACCGTTGTTAAAAGAAATGTGTTTAACTTTGAAAATGTGGGCGCACTTTTAATTGTCAAAAACTCCAGTGAACCATTAGTTCATTTTGCTCAAATAGAAATAGAGGCCTGCCTCTAATACTGGCCCTCCTTCCAATAAAGGCCTGGAGCTTGATGAGCTTGAGTCAAATACAGGCCCGGGCCTGTATTAGAGGATTTACGGTATATGAAAATCTGTTAATCAGTACATTACAGAAAATAATGAACTTAATCACAATATGCTAATTTTTTTGAAGAACCTGTATATACTGGACAATTCATGTCCATAGGCTTGTATTATAAGTTTTTAATCTGAAATGGGAGGTGGCCTCCACCGCCATTTTGATTGTGTCGCATGCCTCGTCAAGCACAGACAATTCAATAAAAGGGAAAAGAGGTGGGGCTGAGGGTGGGGCTGTAAAGCTAGGTTCAAATGACTACACCTGTCGAACTGAAGCGATGCAGCTACAAGCTAACTAAAAGCTAACTCGGAGGTGGGAGCTAAGCTAATGGAGGTTCCATTGTATTAAACACCACTAGTTCTCATGAGAACACGGCACCCAGTCGTGGCTGTTTGTGGACTAGTTATTTAGTTGCCCCCACCACCACTATTTTACAATTACACAAAATAATAATAAAAAAATAAACGAGCGAGTTTCTGATGTCATACAGACTTCTGGAGACTAACATCAAGCACTATCAACCAACTCGCCAAGCTGCAGTATTTCTGTGGTCAGGTCTCTCAGAGTGAGAGCTCCACAAGCCGGCAGCCCGCACAGCAGACAGGCACTGCGATCAGAGAATGTGCCAAGCTGCCGCTGAGGGGAGGTAGTTCAACCCATTTTCAAAAATGCAGCGTTATGTTAAATGCACTGGGTCTTACCATATTACATTTAAATTTCATGGTTACACAGTACATGTTAAAATGGTAGTTGGGTAGCTACTTTGATAAGCTCAGCTAGCGTAAGAGCGGCAGTGACTTAAAATACATACCGTATTTTCCGGACTATAAGTCGCACTTTTTTCCCATAGTCTGGTTGGTCCTGCGACTTATACTCCGGAGTGACTTGTATACCAAATTATGTATACTGCGCTGCTGCGGACCGGCTCCGGACCAGGAATAAGCTCCTCTGCCCCGCCATCACCTGCTGTAGCCTGTGATGAGCTGCTGCGGGCCGGGTGGCTCCGACCCAGGAATGAGCTCCCCTGACCCGCTGGGAGGGTTTGAAAAACTGCCTTCCTCTGCTGGAGACTGCGGTGCGCTGCTGCGCCCTGGTTGTTTATTCTGTTGTTGTTACCGGTACTTGTCTTGCAATATGAAACGCTTGGTCTCAGATTTTGTAAGAAAAATAGTAAAAAAAATTCCCCCCAAAATGCGACTTATAGTCCAATGCGACTTGTATATGTTTTTTCCTTCTTCATTATACATTTTATGGCTGGTGCGACTTATAGTCCGGAAAATACATAAATATAATTTTAATGACTGAAAAAAATGAAGTGGAGACTCCTTGGACGCTCTATTAGTGCAATTAATGCCACAGCAAGTCATTTTGTCCAGTTGCACAAATAATATCCAAAACGAATGCACAAACGGCACAACTAATGGTCTAAGTTGAGAGACTGAAAATCGCAGAACCGTTTTAAGGCGAGGCTGAGGCCTTATGCCGAAGCTAGCTCTGCGGTCAGGTGGGTCTGATGCTCATTAATTTATTCAGAATTTTAGGCATTTAATACACTTAAACAGAAGAGTGACAAAAAATTCACCCCTCAGAGTTGTCATGAGTGTAAACTAGATCTATTAAACCTAAAACATGTTTTGGAACCAGGCTGTAAACATGGTTATTTCTGCTGTGATTTGGTATTTTTAACATGGGAGTCAATGACGATTTGCTCGCTTTTGACACCAGCCCCTAGCAGATGAGGGTGGAACTGCAATTTTTGTCACTTCCTGTTTTGCTTCATATCCGGACCCGAATTATGGCAGCTTTTCACACACTTGCAGCTACACGTAGTACTGGAGTGTTCCACTAGAGGGCACACTAGAGAACTCAGACCGTAAAGGGAGCCGGGTTTGTGGGCACAACCAAAACAAACATGGCGTCAAAAAAAAGAGCTCATTAACTGGTTAATTTCGAGATCACGACGGAGAAAAATATAGCAGCGGTATCGTAGATTGTGTGAAAGACCTCTAAAGCGGAGACGGAGTCACCATGGTGAGTCGTTTTGTCAAGTCCCCCTACTGCTTAGTCGTATATTGCAGCGTTCGGGTGTGTCGTATTAATTTTAGGGGATGCGCACAAACAACGCTTCAAATCAACGCAAGTAACGCGTGGCAGCCATTTAAAACATGCGTATGCGTTATTAAACAGCAACTATATCAAGGTCCTAAATCTTTGCCCTTGTTTCTGCAGGTTGATGAGACCGGAGTTGAGGTGAAGGACATTGAACTCGTCATGTCTCAAGCAAACGTGTCGCGGGCAAAGGCTGTACGCGCCCTGAAAAACAACAACAACGATATTGTCAATGCTATTATGGTGAGATTGTTAAAACTTTCACTTGTGTTCTATTTTCAGCCATAGACATAAACTCTTCTGTGATGATGAAACACAGTGACTTTCGTTCTTCTGAGTTTACTGAAGCCAACATTTCTGTCCTGAGAAGAGTGAAGCCCTCTGAAAAGTTTGTTTTGTTTAAATCTGTGCTGACCTGTTCTTCTCTCTTTGCAGGAGTTGACGATGTAAGGGGACTCTGTCGACTAATAGCTGAAGAAAGGTTGCTGATTTAATCTAAGCTTGTTTGTACAATTTATACCCAAGATGGAAATAAAGTTGTGGCTTGGTGAAATTACTTTTTGAAGTTTTTGTAATTCTTTGGAAAATGGGAAGGTTTTTTTTTTTTAGACTGATTAATGACATGTTTAAGAGGAGCTCATCACCACTTCAGAGTCTTTTAAATGTTACTATTTTCTCCCAAATTCTTCACTGAAAGACTTGTTTCATTTCTCAGGGTTAGGCTTTCTCACAGAGTGATGCTTGATGTCTCGCCTCAAAGAATGCAACTAAATGTGTTCTCCAGATGCATTTGTAACAACCATAAAGATGTCTTCTTTTAAACTCCTTTAGACCTTACGTTGGTTTTCACTTCAGTCAGACATGAACTATTTTCATGTTCTGTGTTAAAGTTGCTTTAGGGAATTTACAGACCAAGCAGGGTTTTGAATGCAAACAGTCCTGGAACACTCATCCCCCCTCTGGTGTCTTCCCTGAGATGCTTCTGCTGGAGGAAACAAGATGCTGCTAAACGCTAGTCGCTGCTTTCTATGTCCAAACATCTTTTGTTGTCCGTTTTTCTATTTGGGACTCTGGTAGTTTGTCCTAAATTTGAAGTGGTTGCAGCCAACCGTTTCTCCTTCTCCGGTACTGAGCCACAAGCCTCTCATGACTGGTGTTCTGTTCCAAAATACGAGTGCGTAATGAATGCAGGACACAAGGAAGTGCAGCAAGACAAACAACTGGATAAAGACTAAACTTGTATAGTGCCTCTTAAGATGAAAGACAATTCACAAGGACAAAGATTTTAAAATGTTAAATGGTCCTATGGTTGCTTTTAGTCCGAGAGCAAACATTAGTGGAGGTTTTTAAGCAAACGCAAGAGAACCCTTTATTTTTTCAATGTTAAAACATTAAGAGGTGTTAACATTTTTTGTATTTGTTTTCCAAGTTTGTCATTGTAGCTTTAATGTTAAATTTAGAATTATGTTGAGGGACTAAAGATTTTAAGCGGGCATTTAATTCCTAAAATATGGGTTATCAGACTTCGTGGGTTATCAGACCTTCCTCTATCTGCTTCCTCTTCAGCACATCCTGAGCTCCTTCAAAGGGATCTCCTACCATCTATGCAGATGGCATCCAATTGTACATCTCCTTTAAGCCCCATGAGATGTCTAAGCTGCAGCTGTTACACACCTGCTTAGACTCTATCAAAACCTGGATGGCTGGGAGCTTTCTTCAGCTGAATGAAGATAAGACTGAGATCCTCATCTGTGCCTCAGACAAGCTGGTTCCAAAAGTCAGGTCAGCTTGCTTCTCACACCAAACCTTCCGTCAGGAATCTTGGCGTGACCTTTGACCCAGCTCTCAACATTTTTTTAAATCACAGTTGTCTATTTTTTGCTCATTTTAAATATATTTTAACCATTTTCTAAATTCTTTTTTGTATTTTTACATTTTTTGTTTTTGTGAAGCGCCTCGTGATTTCTATCTTGAGGCACTATAGAAATGATATTTTCTTCTACCTTATAAAAACAAAATGGTTTCTAAAACTAAGTGTATTTGGTATGTTTTTAATGAATAAAACTAAATGAAAAATCATTTTGGCTAACAATTTGAAGGGCTGAGTATAAGTCTAATCAGAGGAGATGGGTGTTTAGGATAATCTGACAGACTATTCATTGGATATCTAAGAATAGATGTTTGTTTTTAAGTTATTTGTTTTGTGTGATCTTCATTTTCTGGTTGTAAAACAATGTAGGAAGGGTTTAGAAGTATTTAAAAATGGAACTGTTGAACTTTATTTGCTATACTATTGTCTGAAAATGTAAATCAGACAGTATTTGGTTCAGATAAATTCACCGTGTCTAAAAAAGCAAATTGAACCACAGTCGCAAGCAAAATTTGGTTTTAAATTTTTGTAAATTGTCATTTCAGAAGAGATTCGTGCGCTTTTGTTTTATGTTAATTCATTTCCGCATCTAATTAGATTTGAGCTCACTGACAAAAAATCAGGGCTTTATTGACTTGTCTAACTTTCTCTGAGGAGTTTACCTTCTTTCTGACAGAACACAAGTTTTGTTCCCTATTTTTCATTTCCAGTTTAGCACGAAGAAGTTGCTTTCAGTTTAATTGTTCGAAACAAATGAACCCTCATTCATTTAGAATTATGTATAAAATACATTTCAAACTTTTATTTTGTTCGATTATTTGATGTTATTCTATTTCATCGCGTGGGACACAAGACATCCAATCACATCAGAGTTTATGGAGTCCTGAAGCGCAACAGAGGCTGAAAGCTCTAGAAACGTCTAGGCGGCGGAGTGCGTCAGCACTCCCATTCTCATCCCGAGATACGCAACAAGATCCGGAGGAGAGTCCACGAGATATAGGCGTCTGAACAGGTTCTGTTAGATAGCAGTTCCTCTAATACTAGTATTAGTTTCACACGCCTGGTTTATCTGCGATAAAGAAGACGATTTCAACCCGAAACATGTAAGTTGTGAACGCGACTGAGAGTTGGGAAAACTGCGATAGTACGGATAGCTTAGCTAGCAGCTAACTCCGTCGTTACCCGTCTGACAACATGCTTTCCCAAAGGCGGGAGGTCGGCCTTTCTGCTTCTGCTAAGAGTTCATAGTTTTCTGGTTGTTAAACTGCAACAAAGGCGCAGTAAAAAGTCATGGTGTGTTGTACACATCTAATGTTTTTGTTTTCTCATTACTGGTTGAAAAGTTAGCCGTTTTCATCTTTCCTCCGAGGCACCGCATGGTTTGGACACTTAGCATGGTTAGCAGGGTTCATTCACTATTGGAATGCTAGCATTGCGCTAACACCAGAGCCGTTTAGAGTCGCCATCTGGTCATAAGTGATATATCTGTTGGTCTTCACAGCTGAAGCACCGGTCTAATCTCTTGGGGGCTTTGCCACTAGCTTTAATTAAACCATGCTACTCCTCTCACACTGTTCTGTTGGGTTTGTGATCATCTGCAGTTACAATTTGAACAATGCGCCTGCTTTGCAGTAATGAATCAATCATTAGGTTAAAAATCACTATCTAGTGATGACTTACAACAGGTGAAAAGCCTTTGCTTTTGTTTTTTCATCAGAAATATTGGACCCGTACTTTTGATTCCAAAAATTACATTTTAATGTAAAACTTTGTCAATATCTGGCAGAATAAGTTCACATGACTTCATAGGACATTTCACATGTAACATTTCTCTTGGTGAAACGTAACCTGTGGTTGAGTAGCAACCTGACACAGGTGTGTGTTGATGACCTGTTGTGAATAGACTTCAGAGGCTCTTGGACAGAATAGCATGGGATGTGTAGCTTCCATCTGTTGATTAAATTAAATAAGCACAAACAGTTAACAGGTTCCTAAAGCTGGATATCAAATAGTTAACCATAACCATGCAGAACAAGATTACTTTCTGTGACCGACTTCATTGTTTTTAGATCTCTTACATCTCCCCCACGATGGACTTTCTCGGCAAATATTGACATTTAGCTATATGGTGGAAACAAAACATAAAAACACGTAATTAACATTTGGTTCTAAAATGAACAAAAATCAAAAAGTTCAATCATCAACTTTAATTTAAACAGATGGAAGTGGTCTTCTAGAGATCAAGAGATTACAAAAATCTTTTTACATTTGCAGGTTTACTATGAAGATGCAAAGATCGGGTGAACAATGGTTAATTCTCTTCATGTTATGTCCTTACAGGCATCCAGCAACTGCCAAGTGGTACGACAGGAGGGACTCCGTTTTTATAGAGTTCCTTGTTGCAGACAGTAAAGATGTTAAAGTCGATTTTGGTAAAACAAAGTGTGGTTTCAGGTATGTTCTTAGTATTTATGTATGAAGTCTAAATTAAATATGCTACTATTGTTTGAGTTTAAACAGAATTCTTTGTCGTTCACACAGTTGTACCGGAGGGACCGACAATGCCAAGCTTGCCAATGAAATAGACCTTTTTGATGCAATCGATGAAAGTGTGAGTAGTACAGACCTAACTGCTGATAAATATAGATGGTACTGCAAATTCTATTTCATAAGACCTAACTGATGTGATCACGTTTTCTTTGTTTTGTCTTTATCCTGATGCAGCAATCCAAACATAAACGCACAGATCGCTCAGTCTTGTGCTATCTACGGAAAGCACAGCCGGGGAAGGCATGGCCAAGGCTAACGAAAGAGAAGGCTAAGGTCAGACACGCACGTTTCCAGGATGTACATGTTGATTTATTTGGGATCTGTTGTTTTTATCGACACAGTAATACCTGTAGGCACAGTTGGATGGACCGACAGCCCATATGATAACTTAAAGGTGTGCTGTGTCTTAGCCATGCTTCTCTGAACCACATCCATAGATGTTTAGCTGTGATTGGCCTGTTTAGTCAAGAACAGGTGGAGAACCAGATCTGTTTGAGGGACCAGACCCTAATTAAACATAGTTCCTGAAATGTATTAGATTTCCACTACAAATCATTAGATTGTTATGCCTTTTTTATTTATTTTTATCTACAGCTGAGTTGGCTAAGTGTTGACTTTAACAACTGGAAGGACTGGGAAGACGACTCCGAAGAGGAAATGGGCAACTTTGATCAGTTCTCTGATGTAAGCACTGACGTTTATTATTGTTTTGAATTCTAGTCTTTAAAAATGCTCAGGAATCATTTAAATAAATTCCCACATGAGGCAAAATAAAAGTCTCGAGTTGAGCCACTTCGCTAAAGGTGGCTTAAGCTCAGACACAGCAGGAAGAACAAACCCAAGAGCCAGCATCCTGATGAAGATGAACGGCTTGGGCACATGCAGAGAAGCCCAAAGCTCTGACAGGGCCCGCTTGCACTCACACATTTAGTTCTGGTTCAGATTACTGTTCAGGTTCTCATCCTTGCTTTTGGCGAAATTTAGAATAATGCATTCTTATAATTTGGTTCTGGAAACAAATCTATGTGGAGATGATGGCCGATAAAACACAAATCAGCTGAAACATAAGTTGGAGTTGGGCCAGTTGCAATATCGAATTTTGCAGAAGATTACGTTGTCTCTGAAGTTAGCAACAATGTTGTTATGAGGCCATTTTTAATGATAATGGCCTAATGCAAGATCCATAAACTTTAAGATAAATGTTTCCATTTGAAGTGGAACACATAATAAAAATCCAAAATAAATAAAACAACCAAAAACTATAAATAAACTGTAGTCTCGCTCTGTTTAATAAAATAATGTACTTGTGCTCATTTTATTTTACCATGCGATACGTTTATTGCCCTTTGGGACAGCTTACTTGGAGTGAGTGAACCTATTTTCTAGAATGCCCGTCTGATCTTTAAAAAGTCTGTTGTGAATCCGAAGGCTTTAAACACTTATTTCTTTTGGGAAATTATTGTTTTCCTCACTTGTAAAAAGTATCAACCTTAATGTTACAGATGATGAACAACATGGGGGGTGAGGATGACCTGGCTGATCTAGATGGGGCAGATGATGTAAGAATCTTTCCCTTCCATCATGCATCCATCAGCAGATTACCATTAAGCAGAAGTGAACCGGTGTTGGGCGTTATGTAATCTTGTATAGCCGTTTCACCAATCTCATTTTTCCCTTGCTCCTCTTTTTAATCTAGGATGAGTCTGCAGATAGTGATGATGAGAGTAAGTGCCAGTGAACTTTTTTACTCACTACCACTGCAGTTCATATCAGTTATCAAGGGTTTAATGTTGGTTTTTCTCTTCCAGAAATGCCAGACTTGGAGTAGAAGACACGAAGACTTTGTGAAGAAACTGAAACAAAAAGGGGACAAGAGGAATCTTAATAAATGTATATCTGGAAACTGAAGGCAGTGACAAACTGCTGTACATATGAGTCAGTAGCTATATTTAAATCCATAGCCTCAGCTCCAAACTTCTTTGACTAGTCTACTTAAGGTTGATTTGCATGGTATTTGTACAGAGCAGCTACTTCCATGTCCATTTGCTGTACTACACCTTTTGGGTATTTTGTTTCAATGTTTGAAAAGTTACTACCAGGCTCATATTTTACCTGTCGGGAAAGAAAACTGTACTTGTACTCATCTGAGCAAATCACAATAAGAGATTTACAAATAGTTTTTAAACCATGTATGGTTTAAAATGGTCAGGCAAACTTCTTCCTAACGGTGTGGTCTTAAGTTAGTCAACCGGTGTAGCAGATCTGAGTAAAACATAAATTTAGTGATTGGGCTCCATGATCTGTTAGAAATTTGGGACATGCATCAACAGCTTACACGTACCCTTGTTAAATATTTGTAAAATTTAAATATGCATCTTTCGAGTGATCTACTTTAATTCTGTTTTCCATAGTTGACAGCGTTGTCTTCGTACCCACCTCACTTAGACACATTTCACAGGACAGGCTCAGTGAAATGTCACAGCTGATTAAAGGCTAGTTTGGCCCCAGCATTATGTGGTTTGTTACTATCCTCCAGGTTCGTTGGTTTATCTTTTGTCCCTCGCTGGTGAGAGGGTGTCTGAACAAAACAGCAGCAGCAGCGTTAGATGACCAAATCATATTTGCACTGTTGGACGAAAAATGCAAGGGGAGACGAGTAATGTTCAATTACAGTGGAAATTCTTCGTTTTGTTTTTTTAACTGTCTACATCTTTCTAATAAACTGTTTAAGAATCATGATGTGGGTTGTTTATTGTCTTGAATAAGATTTGTACACATGGTTAGTTGTGGGTTAAGGTGGCTAAGAGCTTCACTTAAAGTCTAATCTGCATTACATCAGATTTATCTGATTGCTCTTTATTAGGGTGAATGAAGACCACAGAGTCTATTCATTTTAGAGTATTTATTTCTAGTTTAAGAAGAAGGTTGGGGATCTCTTCTCAGGCCGTATAGTTTCGGCGCTAGGACCCAGAGGCTTGCTGCTGGCCCTTCGGCCCAGGATATTAGCATACTTCCTCAGGCCTGATTTCCTCGCGTCATTTATGAAAAGCTCACGTTAATAAGCAACTCGGGCTTCCTGTTAACACACCGGCTTATTTTAAAGTAATTTCTTTATTCTGCACAGAACTCCTAAGAGGTACAAATACACATCATTTGGCTATTCTTCAGGAGACAACCTCGTAAGAAGTACAGTTTAAAAGATTAAATAAATTTCTGGTTAATTTTAACAATGTAATAACATGGTTATAAACTAAAGCTTTGTTTATTCTACTTTTGACTTTCCAAGTAGATTATTGCGCTCCGTAGAGCTGATCTTGTTGACTAAAGCCATCTCTGGGTAACAGTGATAAAAGTTTATGGCTCTACAGTCCATGGTTGAACCGATTAGTATAAATATGTTTTGAAGAGTCGGCACTGTTACCGGATGTGTGCGGGGTTGCTGTTTACTCATTGACGCTTCTCCAGGCAGCTCGCTCCGTTTTGTGATCATGGCTGCACCGGACCTCACCAGCCATGTTTGCTAATTTAAAACCCAAAGGTTAGGGGAATAGTTGTTTATTATTTATCGCTGTGTCATCTTCACCCGCATATCCGTTAAGACGAAGGTTTAGAGTCATCCGCGCCTTCGGAACCCACGGACTTAAAAGGTTGGGCAGCTTTTAGTTAAATCTGAGTAAAAGTTTGGATGGTGGCGGTGCGAGAGGATGATGCTCTGCTCAAATTGCAGCATAAACATTGAAATTGCATCTGCCTGCTAGCTTACGTTAGCCCGTGAACAAAAGGGAGTGCGTCTTCCTTTAGAACAGTGGCTGTAATTATGTTTGACAAACCGACTCATATTTATTTTCATTGGCTTGGTTCTACATTATTGATTGGTACCATGGTTCTAAACCAGCGTGGCTACGGTACCTGCTACCTGGCTATATTAGTTAGCATCGCAGCCTACACTCCGGATAAATGTTATGGATGCTATTAGTTAGCTTTATAGCTTACGTCTGTTAGCGAGGTTCTTTTGTGATGTTCTAGCTAAATAACCTTGGAACCAAAACAACTATGTTTCACGTTCGATGTTTCACACGAAAAAGTAAAGGAAACGTTTTACGTACTGGAGTTGAATGCCACATTAATAAAACTAATAGCTAGCCCAGTCGTTCGGTAGCGTTTTAAAGTGATGCCTTGTTCATTTGGAGGCTTTGCTAGCGCCGTTCAGCTAACGCGGCGCCCGCGGTTGCAAAGGCCTTGTTGAATTAGGAAATCAAGTATCCTGGATGACTACCAGGAACTGGCAAAGTGTTGTCGGGGCCTTTTGTGTGTTAAATACTTTCAATAGTCTCTCTGTTATTATTTTCAGGCCGGTTACCGGCTCTTTGGAACGTTTTGCGTGGCTTTTCTCAGCCTGTGATGTTACATTTAATGAACCGGAATGCGGAGGCTGTGCCCGTGTTAGCAGCACTTCATCAACGGTTATGACGAGCTCCTACCGTGAGATTCCGCCTGTCCGTCCCCCTCGCTGGGGCCTGGCATCTGCTACTGCTGCCGCTGCTGGCTGCGACATTTTGACGGCTGCTTTTGGAGTGAAATGGTGCTGTCACAAGCCACAATCACCAAAATCACACAGGAAAGGCGCTTGTTTATGAACTGGGACACAAACGACTGTTTTCATTAATATACGTAATAAGATAATTATTATATTTCTGACACATTTGGTTTTGCACATCGTTCATTTGGATGACTGTTTCTCTGCAGTTGAACCACGCAGTTTGATGGTGATCACCCTTTAGTTATTTCTCTTTTTTCATGTCTTTTTTCTTCAGATGGATTCAAATAATCATTTCAACTATGGCAACCACCCCTCACCAAACTCAGGACTGAAACTCTCCTCAGGGGAATCTCTTTACACAAACGGGTCCTCCGTGAGTTTCCCTCAGCAGAAGAGTGAGTATCCTCATGCTGAATGGGCAAACATTTCAGGGCTGCCACTCAAAAGTTTGGGATCACCTGGAGGTGAAGTCTGTAAAGGAGAACATGCAGTTGTTGCTTCTACAGGAAGCACAAACACAGACCCATGGGTCTCCTAAGACACGCTTTTAATACATTTCTGTTCTTTTAGAGCTAATTAACAAGCAACAATTTACTGATGAATCAGATACAAAACATTTAAACTCTACAATAATCAGTCTGTCTGAGATCTGTCTGTAATGGAGCAGTCAGCACAGACTGGTGATGATGCTCCAGGGTGAAATCTTGTTGGAATATCCAGAATACCCAAAGCTAAGGGTTGCCAGTTAGTCATTTCCATGTCTGCATGTCTTATTCATCTTTTCTATCCTGTTCAGACTCATTTTATGTGCATTTCCATGCAAATTTTGAAAATATTCACTAACATATTTCATAACTGCTGACACTAGCTCATAATGAATGTCCTACGTGATGATGATCACGTTATTTATTATGTTTGCAGTGTTTAGTGTCCCTGGGTCTTGTTTTGTGCTATAGGGAGAAACTTGGTTCTGAGTGTGACAGATAACCAGCTGTCCATGTTTCGTCAAACATCAGAATAAAAATAGCCAGTTTTGTGCTTCCAAGAGCTGCAGCTCACTGTTCACCCTAACCAAACTCAGCCTAGTTCAGCCGCAGATGTCTTGCACCAGTGCAGCTTTTTCAGTCGTGTCTTTGAATCCAACAGATCTGAATGGCGAAATGAATGTGAATGGCATCACTACTGTACTTGGGTCGAGCGTGCCTGCTTCCCACCCACCATCGGCTCCATACCCACACGTGAGCAGCCGCCAACAGAGCAGTGTGGGATACGACTACTTGTGGGGAGGGCACCCTCAGTACGGTCCCAGCGTGGGCCCGTCCCCAGGGCACGGGATGCATCAGAAACAGACCACACCTGCGATGGCACAGCCACAGTCACACCACTTCCAAGGTCAAGGACAGTACCAGCTGAACGGGGTCATTGAAAGCCCCCATCAGCCCCCCGTTGCAGGCCCAGCCAACGTTCCTCTAACAGGGAGCCAGTACTGGAACAAGGGTAACTCTGGTCTGCAGCAGGTGAGCTATGATTCACGTGGCATGTTCGGGCCCTACCAGAGTCAAACGCTTCCCGGCATCACACCATCGCAGCATCAGCAGCAGCAGTCCCTCCAACAAGCTGCTCATCAGCCGTCACAGCAGCACCTCCACTCCCACCGTCAACATCACCACCAGCAGCTGCAGCAGTACAGCCTGATGCCAAATGGGATGCCCTTCTATCAGCATCAGCACCCATCTCCCCAGCATCAGCAGCAGCAGCCTCAGGGTCACGCTCAGATGATGCCGCCCACTGCCCAGAATGCGACTCCTCCACACAGTAGCCCACAGCACCACGGCATAGGCAGAGGAAGCTCCAGCAGTCCTCTGCCCGTGGGGGCGTCACCAACACCTATTAAATCCCCCTCCCTGCAGGAGACTGGATCGCCCAAAAGTCACAGCAGGGAACGGAGTCCCCATCCCACCAGTGTGGGCCTCTCTTCTCCAGTACATGGTAACTTTTTATTAAAATTTAGCTCACTTTGATTTTTCTCTATTTGTTTCCTGCTATTCTGACCTTATTTGTGATTGAAAAGTTAAATCGTCGTCGTCAACGTTCCGTTTCCTCTTTTTAATGACCGAGCCAATGCCACGTAGTTTTATTTCTCCATTAGGAAACATGTGCTGCTGATTTTTATTTTATTTTTGGGATTCTCATGTTGTGCAACAGCTTCACTTCATAATGTTACAAAACGGACTCATTCTGCAACGGAGTAAAAAGCCTAGCTGTATCTTTCGTACTGGACTGAGGATTAAGTTATTGGTGTTGGGATGTAACCAGCAGGAGGCGCTGTTCCAGTGTTTGTTCCTTTATCTGAACATAGCGGCAGATAATTTGTTTAAAGGTTTTATTTTTGTCCCCTTCTTGTTTTTCATAATTATGGGATCAGAGGTCACCAATGTAGTTTTTGATGCCACCGTGGTTCTTTTTCTGCTTTAGGGCATTCGAGGGAATCCGTCCAGGAGATTGACCTGAGCTACAACAGCAGTGAAAGGGCACCTGTTGCACAGAGGTCCCCAAAAGCTGAACGTTACCAACCCAAACCTTCGTCTGCTCATGTGAGTCCTCAGAGGGATTTTTGTTATTACTCCGATCAGCCTGGAGCGACCTCCCCAGCCAGAGATCCAGTCGTCCTCTCACATTCCCAGTGTGTGTCATCACCACGCTCTGCATCAGGGTCCTCGGCGTTTCAAACAAAAGCCTCGTCACCACCAGAGGTCTCCGTTTTCTCTGGATCGCCAACATCTTCTCCTGGACCTCAAAAGCTTTCGCTGTTTGACGTTGAGTCCTCTCCTCCACAAATGACAACACCTCCTAAAAAGTCCATGGCTCCATCTGTCGTCACTTCTTCCAGACTTTCTTCTCCTCCGTCAGCAGTTCAATGCCGCAGGCCCTCTACCTCGTTTGCATCTGCAGGCTTCAAGCATGCACCAGAAGATGCCTCTTCCTCTCTTCTTGCGTCATCTTCAAAGCTGTCCACACCTCCCACTTTGACTGAAAGCATATCTAGAATCACAAAAGATTTCTTGGATCCTCCAGTTTTACCTCCGTCAGAGTCTTTAGTTCATCCAGCAAAGCCAGCACTGGCCCTTACAGATCCTGGACCTTCTACAACCGTTTGCCCTCCTGCCTTAGTCTCCATCCCTTCTTATTCTGCTCCCAAAACAACTCTGAAGACACAGGTGGCTCATGGGTCCAAGTTGCCTCTGACACCCGGCTTTACTGACGCACCTGAAGGTCACTATGAAAAACCAGCTCCTCCGAGGTCAATGCCAGTAAAGACCAGTAAAAGCTCCACATCTCCTGGTGCGACTCACTCTCAGGTGTCAACATCTGGACCAACCTCAACATTACCTAGTCTTTGTTTATCAGCATCTGCACCTTCATCTCAGACTCCTTCAGTCGTCAGTGGAGTTTGTGAGCCTTCACCAATGCTCCGGTGTCAGACGTACACTCCTCTTGCTGCAGCATCAGCACCTCCAGGGTTGGTAAGCCCCGCCCCTCGTTTGACCCAGCACAGCCTCACAGTCCGACCTCTGCTTATGCCGCCTCCTGGAACCACTCAAGCCACCAAGACTGCACCCATTTCCTCCCCTCCTGCCTTGGTGCCGGCACCGCGAGTAATTGTTGCATCTTCTAGAGCTGTCCAAGACTTCAAGCAGCCTCCACCGGTCCCCGCCACTCCTCCTGCTCAGGTGCAGTCAGAGCATCGTGTTGTCCGTGAGGACAGCAAAGCTGTGGCTCAGCTTGATTCAAGCACAGGAAGAGCATCCCAGGTGGAACTCTCTGAGACCAAGAAAACAGAAACCCACTCACGCAAATCCCTCATTGCTCTCCCTGAAAATTACTCACAAACCTTCGACCCAAACATCCAGAAACCCGATTCTGAGAAGCAACTCATGAAGATCTGTGTCGTCTCAGAGGCCGAAGACTTCGCAGAGTCCGCTGCCGTCAGAAAGTCCCCACAACCTAAAAGCACAAGGCCACATTTGAGCGATGAACAAAGCTTTGATACGTCTTCTCACACTGTCTCTTATTTTGGTGATGACTCGGCATGCAGCACCCCCTCTAGACTCCACGTCAGCTCGGTCACGGGTGGGGACGGCTCATTCCTACGCGACTCCACTCAGTTTTACAGCTCATCCTGCAACAGCTCGTTCCCTGTGGAGGACTCCAGAGAGGACACGGTGGACTTGACCAGGGAAGGAGAACCGTCTGAGGCGGACACGACCCAAAACGCAGATCGGCAGGAGAACGGCTCTCAGGTCCAGGAGCCTTCCGTCGACCCTAGTGATGTGTCCAACTCACACTCGTTTGTGTCATCTCATCCAGTTCATCAAGGTACCCAAACCGTATTTATTGCGTTTCATATTCTTTGTTGTTATTCGCAAAAAAACAACAACATAACTCGCCTGGTTTGTTGTGGTTTCCTGCCAGGTTCTGAAGCAGAGTGGGAGCCCAGAGGGTACGATGCTCCAGACTCCGCTAGACACTTCGTTATTAAGCCCCCTGCTAATGACGCAACACCTCCGAGTTTCAGGATCAAACACCAGAACTTCATGGCCTTCAGTACCCCAGCTGAAGACCACAGTGTGCACCCACTCCAACCGGTTACCGACCAGACGCCAGGGAAACCACGCAGACCTCGAGCTCCAAAGATCGTTCTGATTAAAACTACAGGTTTGTCCATTTCATGATCACTTTTAAGATAAAAGATCTCATTTTAAATGTTATTTTTTTTGTTTGGTTTTTTTAGCTTCAGAGGAGGGCCACCGGAGGTCTCGAGGTCAAAGGCCAAAAGTGGTGAAGATAAAGCTGGGCGAAGAGGGAGGGGCTAAAGAGGAAGGAGCAAGGGGCAGAAAGAGGAAGAAGTCGTTCAAGGTTGAGGATCAAGAAACATCTGGACTGTCAGAAGGGACTTCTCTGATGCAGGAGGTTGATCCGATAACGGCAGCGATCGAAGCTGTGCTGGCCAACGCTTCCACCATCAGCACGGCTGGTGGGAAACCCAAGAAGATGAAAAGGGTGAAAAAACAAGTCCACGAGGGAAACGAGAGCACGCAGAAACAAGACGCTGAAACCACCGCGGATGATGTGGACGACAACGATGAGGACAGCTCCACTGCAGGTAACCTATCAGATCTATGTGTTTAATCCCATCATGTGGCGGTTTGTTTCTGAGATGGTTTCTCTTCATTTTAAACAGGAGAATCAAACAGAAGAAGGGTTGCAACCGAAGAGCAGGTCCAGTTCCCTCTGATGCACGGGTACCAGTTCTCCCAGTTCTTTAAACTTCAGCCATTCTTAACTCATTCACTGCCCGCCGTTTCCTGATCACTAACGGCCTTCGCTGCCATCGTTTCTCACCGTTTTTACTGTTTTTTTAAGAGTCACAGAACGTTGTGCGCTAGCATGATGTCAACGCCAAAACAACCAAAACAAAGAGGAGACTCACCTCTTACATCAGGAAGAAGCCGCGTGTTTCGAGCGTTATCTGTTCTTTCATAATCCGTTGTTGAATTGTGATCGGCAGACACTTTTCCAGTTCGCGCCTCACTTTTTTTACAGGAACGGCCCAAAACGATCTCCAAACACATGGATGTGTTGCTTCCTGATCATGTGATCTGTGACGTATGCGGATGAAGATCGGCTTCAGGGCTGAGATGTTTGTTCTCTCAGCGCGGGGGCTCGTTCCGATGCTCAAACAGTAAAAAGATGCAAATGACGACTTTAGTCGTCAATGGCAGTGAATGAGTTAAGGCTCCTGTCCACTCTGTTGCAGATTTTAGTCGATGTGTCGCAAATTTAGCACAAAAACGAGATAGAAGCTGTTGAGCACAGAGGTGGAGAGCTGGTGATTTCTGACTGGCCTGCAACTGTTTCTGAGTCTCAGACACAAAGATGAGAAAATGTGAGAGAATCGGTTTGCAGGAATCACAGATTTGGTACCAGAACTTCAGCTTGTTTACATTTATCCTCACTGGACATTTTGTTTTTCTGTAAACGTTTGATTCTCTCTTTAGTCTCGAATCCATCCTGACTAACGTCCCCATGACCCTGACCCCTCCCAGACAGCTCAAACTTAAGCAAGCCACCCACCCCCACCCCTTTTTTTTTTTTTTTTTTACTTTAACAGCCGTAGCCCAGTGACATACTGGCCTACTGTTTCCTGAAAGCTACAACAGAAATGTAAATAAGCTGTCGTGTTTGTAGCTGGAGGAGGGAGATTCGTGTGAAGAAAACCGAGAACCGCATGAAGGGGGAAACCTGGTACTACACTCCATGTGGGAGGAGGATGAAGCAGTTTCCTGAAATCATCAAGGTAAGGGATTCGGTTCCGTCACACACCCCTCAAAGCCACGTAACCTTCACTTTTCCTCTTACATGTTCATGATGGCCTTCCGCTGATTTCTGTTCTCAGTACCTGAAGAAACACTCGGACAGCGTGGTCACCAGAGAACACTTCAGCTTCAGTCCACGGATGCCTGTTGGAGACTTCTACGAAGAAAGAGAAACACCAGAGGTCTGAAACGTTTTGTCTGGAGGTCAAACGTTTAGATCAAAATGTGTGGACGAGATTTTAGAGAAACTGACGTTCTTGTCTCCATTCCAGGGTATGAAGTGGTTTCTTCTGGCTAACGAGGAAGTCCCCTCCATGATCATGGCCATCACTGGTCGGCGAGGTCGACCTCCGAACCCCGATAAAGAAAAGCCCTGCAGGGTTCGAGGCCAGAGGAGGGGCCAGACCCGCCGCCCTGGTAGACCTCCTAAGTTTGAGATGGTTGATCTCCTCAGCAAAGTTGATGCTAAGCTGCTGAAGCGCCTCCAGACTAAGGGTGAGCGAGTGTTGTGTTGTTTGCATGCTTTGGCTCTGAGGTGACGAACGGCTTTCAGCATTCTGTTCTTGTTTTCACAGAAACTCTTACGGAGGAGGAAAAGGAGAAACTGTCAAAAATCAAAAAGAAAATGAAAAGAAAGGTAAGTCGTCCAGCCTGGCTTCAGTTTTCACCCCGTGAACCGTTCAGATCCCACCGTGGGTTTGTTCCTGCTCTTCCTTCTACAGGCAAGGATGAAGAGAAGGGAGGATTTAAAGATTAAGAAGATGAATGAGGAGAAAAAGAAAGCGAAGGTTCGGGAAAACTTAATCAAAACAATCAAATAATCATCCTCGTTTCACATCTTATCTCACCTGGTGTTTCTGTCGGGTGTTCTCTGTGGCTCTCAGCTCGTAGAAGATGTGAAACTCCTGGAGGTGAAGGCGGAGTCAACAGACCCCGCAGCCCCACAGCTCACAGATTCAGATTTCATTGCCGAGCCGAAAAAGCCTGGCCGCAGGAGGTCGCTGAAGGGTGAAGCCACCTCGCCCGTCCAGCAGACTGCAGCAGAGACGGTGCCCCAGGGTGTCCGGGTGGCAAGTGCTCGTAGTAAAGCCAAGGCCCTGGCTAGGGCGCAGGCAGAGGCGGAGGCGGCGGCTCAGGCCGCTCTGGCAGCCAAGAGGGCAGCAGAGCGGAGGGCACTGGCCCAGAAGCGCCTGGAGGAGAGGAAGAGGCAGCAGCTGATTGCAGAGGAGCTGAAGAAGCCCACAGAGGACATGTGTCTCACAGACCACAAAGTGAGTTGTTAAGAGTTTCTCATTTACATCTTCTCTTGACTCTAAATCCTCCTAACCTTCCTGTTCTCAGCTGCTGCCGGAGCTGTCTCGGATTCCAGGGCTGGTTCTTTCTGGAACCGCGTTTGCCCACTGCCTGGCCGTGGTCGAGTTCCTACATGGGTACGGGAAGGTGATCGGTCTGGATGTACCCAAGGATATCCCCAGCCTCGCCACCCTGCAGGAAGGCCTGCTGGGCCTGGGAGACAGCCAAGGAAAGGTCCAGGACCTCCTCATCAAACTGGTGGAGGCTGCACTGCACGATCCAGGCCTTCCATCTTATTATCAGGTATGTGGCCAGCGTTACGCTCGTGAAACCAGTCCTCGCTGGCGATCTGTTAAACTTCTAAATCCTGATTATACTTCTATCGTCTCATTCTAGTCGGTGAAGATTCTTGGAGAGAAGCTGGTGGACTTGGGGCTGACCCGCAGCACGGTCTCAGAGGCACTGCGCATCTATTTGGAGTCTCATGGTTATGAGACGGAGGTCTGTAACTCTCTGAGGACCAAAACCTTTCATGCGCTGCCTCCTGACACCAAGGCAGCCATCTTGGGTTTCCTGGCGGAGGAGCTAAACAGCAGCAACATCGTGACCAGGTGAGACTTTAAGGGACTCTTGCTACTCTCGCACCGAGACATTTAACCGTTCCTCCATCACCCCGATGTGTGAATCTGTTATCGTAGTGACATTGACAACACGCTGGAAAACATGACAACCTACAGGAAGAACAAGTGGATCATTGAGGGAAAACTGCGCAAGTACGATGTTTTTTATCCTCAAACACAAAATGTTGCGTCTGACTGCCCGGGTGTGTTTGTTGAGGATGTGTGATGTTGTTCTTTCTACCAGACTGAAGGTGGCGCTAGCTCGTCGGACAGGACGCTCCGAAGAGGAGTTGTGTTTCGAGGAGAGGAGGCGCAGTGCCAGAGTAGCCGAGGAGGAGAACCTCAGTCTGGAGGAGGGGGGTCTGACTCTGGAGAGAGGGAGTCGGCGCGCCCGCAAAGAGGAACCCAAACTTAGCGATGTGTGTGACAGCTGGAGTGTGTAAGAGTCCCGCTTTGGTCATTCTTTCCTCTCGTGAACGTTGTTCTTCTCTGCAGAATGAGAGTCCGGCCAACGCGAGCATTCCAGAGCTGGAAAGGCAGATCGATAAGCTAACTAAGGTAAGCGCGGTGCCGCCCGACACAGTTCTTCATACGTTTCAGTTCATCTGTAGCTTTGATCTCCAACAGCGCCAAGCGTTTTTCCGTAAGAAGCTGCTACAGTCGTCTCATTCCATGCGCTCCATAATGCTTGGTCAGGACCGTTACCGCCGCAGATACCTGGCTCTGCCTCACCTCGGAGGCATTCTGGTTGAGGGACCAGAAGAGCTGCTCAGTGAGTCTGAGACTCCGTTTGGATTTTCAGATTTAGAAATGTCTCCTTGTAATCCCCATCTCCTCGTACCTTTTCTTCCAGCGTCAGGGGACGTCCTTGTCGCTGAGGTGCCCGTCGCCTTCCTCAAAAAGGAGCCCAAAGTTGAGGAGACTCCCACGCCAACCACTCCTCCTCCTCCTCCTCCTCCCCCCTCCGAGTCTTCTGCCACTCCAGGCCCAGCCCAGTTCTCCCTCCCAGAGGAGGACCCCCTTCCTGGCACCGCGTCCCTCATGAGCACACAGCGAGGCCGCGGGCGCCCTCGGAAGATCAAACCTGAAGTTGAGCTTCACCTCCGCACTGCGAAGATTCGCCGCCGCCGCAGAAGTAGCATCAGGTCTGTAGGAGAGGAAGGGCCAGGGTCGCCAAACGGCTGCTTGTTGGACCTCACGCAAGCAGCTTTCAAGAGCTGGCTCAGCCAATCGCAGGAGGCAGTGACCAACGGCACATGCTCCGCAGAAGCGGACGGTCCGACGGAGAATCTTCCGGAGGAAACCGTCAAAGAGAAGGCCGAGAAACAAGGACAGTGGTTCAACCTGCTCCCCAAACAGCCGTGTGATGAAAACTCTTTGAGCGAGCCCCAGGCCGCCTCCACGCCCAGCTCTCCCCCTAAACTCCTGCCTCAGACACCGAGTGCTCTGCCAGCACTTGCTGCTCCTCTGACGCAGGTTTGCTTCTTCCAGACTCAAACGCACGTATGCTTCAGCCGCGCACCTCCAGTCTGAAAATGATCTCTCCTCTTTTCAGCCGGAGCCTCTCTTGCCGAGCCTGGACCCAGCTGACGCGGCACCACCTGACATCACCCACACAGGTGCAGCGTTCGACTATGCTCCTCCACCAGCTCCTGTAGCCCCTCCCCCTGCCGCTCCGACCACACCCGCCAGGCCCACACGCAGGCGACGGAGAGGCAGCAGAGGGAGCAGCCCGGCTCGGAGAGGAGCCCGAGGAACCGCAGCCAAACGCAGAGGCCGTCCAGCCAACTCTGCCTTCCAGGAACTGGAGCAGCAGTTCTTCACGCAGCTGGTGGTCAAACCCATTCCTGCATGTAAGCAGCTCGTAGGGTTTTAAGTCTGCTGTCTGAACATGTTCTAGGCTGCATTTAAGTTTACCCGAGAGGGTTTGTTTCCAGCAATGACCCGAGGCTGGTGGTGGATCAAGGACCCAGAGGAGCTGTACAGCACTTTACAGTCCCTCCACCCCAGAGGCGTCCGAGAGAAGGTGCTCCATAAACATTTAGCCAAACACATGGAGAGCTTAGCTGAGATCTGCACCAAACCCATCAGTGGTGAGTAATTAGGGCTTTGTCTTTTTTTTTCTCAGCTCTTGATTTATCTTTTTGAGTCATGCTCTAATTAAAAAGGTCCTTTTGCACTAGATCCGCTGTTTGAGGTGAAGCCAGAGAAGAAAGAAGTGCTGCTGGAGGCCCTGCAGCAGCCCTGGCAGGTGCAGGAGAAGGCAGTGGAGATGGATGTCAGCGCCCTCCAGTGGGTGGAGGATCTGGAGCAGCGGGTCGTTGCTGCTGATTTACATCTAAAGGTTCAAATGCCACCAAACTGTTTTTTTTTTTTTTTTACATACAAAATATGTTATATCATGACTAAGAAATTAATCTTTTCATAAAGAACAACAAATTTTGAAGTATCACAGTGAACTTTGTGTGCTCTTTCGTTTAGGCGCCTCCTCAGGGAGCCATAAACGAGACTGACACCAACACAGAAACACCAATGGCTGAATTTCAGGTAATTTTTGAAACTTCAGACCAGAAACATTCTGTCTTCACACTCGCCGCCACTTTGCCTCTGTGTATTTATTTATTTATTTATTTATTTATTTGTAGCCCTACACAATCCCAGACCCAGACTCCACCCGTGATGACCTTCAGTACTACGAACACGACGTTGACCCGCGGGACGACTGGATCGTTCGAACCAAGAAGGAATGGTCCGGGTTGCCACGGATCGCCACGCACCCTCTGGACCTGGCCGTGCTGCGGCTAGCCAACCTGGAGAGGAACATTGAGAGGCGCTACCTGAAGGAGCCTCTCTGGAACCCGGCAGAAGTGATGCGCCTCGCTCCCCTCACCCCAACACCTGGAGAGGAGCATCCAATGGATGTCATCAGGTGAGAAAAACGGCCTCGAGTTGAAGCTAAAGGAGATCCATGTGGGTTTTTAATGATGTCAATTAGAATTTATTCACTAAATTGAATGTGTTCCAGTCTGGAGAGTGAAATCACCTCTCGGCTACGAACGTGGCGTCAGGCTTTGGATCGCTGCCGAAGTGCTCCGCAGATTTGTCTTTGTTTACTCCAGCTGGAAAAGGCCATTGCTTGGGAGAGATCTGTTACTAAAGTGGTGAGACGGTAGCAGCGTTTGTACAGGAAGACCAAGCATCCGCTCCAGCTCCGATTTAGCTAACGTTTCTCTGTTTTTCTAGACTTGCCAGGTTTGCAGAAAGGGCGATGACGACGAGCACCTGCTGCTGTGTGACAGCTGCGATCGGGGTTGCCACATGTACTGCCTGAAGCCAAAGATCACCCAGGTGCCAGAGGGAGACTGGTTCTGTCCAGCCTGTGTTGCTAAGGTCAGAGCAGTTCAGTGTGTGATTAAATTCAGAGCATTCGTCTGCGTGCGGGCCTTTTTGCTGAGCTGTTTCTTTCTTCCTTCGTTAAGGATGAAGGAGATTTGCAGCGCTCGTGCAAAAAGCGCAGCAGAACGAAGAAAAGAAGGTATGAAGATGACAGCTCTGAGGATGAGGCGACGCGGCGACGCAGTGGTGGCATGGCAACACGACACAAGGAGACCGCCACGCCTCCGTCATCCTCCCGTTCCTCTGGAGAAGGAGGCGGCACGAAACGGCGCCGCATGACGACACGCAACCAACCAGACCTCACCTTCTGCGAGTGGGTTCAGTCGCACGCAGAAAGATGTCGTTAATAACGCGGTTCGAAAGAATTCCTGTTTTTGAGCTGAAATCTGAATTTGTCCTCCAGGATCATTCTGATGGAGATGGAGGCTCACGCAGACGCCTGGCCGTTCCTGGAGCCCGTCAACCCTCGACTGGTGCCGGGCTACCGCCGCATCATCAAGAACCCCATGGACTTCCTCACCATGAGAGAGAAGCTGCTACAGGGAGTGTAAGAGAATCTCTTCTTCATCAACGTTCCTGCACAAACTTTAGAATTCTCTCTTCGTTATGGAAGGAACTCTGAAGTCAGACAGATTAAGGAAGTCGGGGGAATTTTACACTAATAAATTACTTTAATCCCTTTATAAAAAGCACCCATTTTAGTCCAAGCTTTGTTTGATTGGTATAGAAAAGCTGAGTGACTGTTGTAACGTGGGTCCTCCCGCCCCCCTCCAGCTACTGCAGCTGTGACGAGTTCTCTGCCGACGCCCAGCTGGTCTTCAACAACTGTGAGCTGTTCAACGAGGACACGTCGGAGGTGGGGACAGCAGGACACTCCATGAGACGCTTCTTTGAGAGCCGCTGGGCGGAGTTCTACTCAAACAAGGACAAATAGACTCTATCGCCCTGACGGTGGCGCTGTAGGACTGCTGGTGCTGCCGCCGCCTCGCCCCCACATGCCTGGAGGCGGTGTGATCTCATGTATAGGTATATATGTATAGATTGCTGGCTCTTGTCTGTTATTGTTTCCTCTACAGGTTGAATCTTTTTTCTAAAGGGCCACCGCTCCGTGGCTCATACTCTCGCTCATTCCCCACTCACACACTGAGAACATGTCCATCGTCACCTTCAAACCTCGTGTCTCCTCAGCGTTAATACGCACCTGATTTCCTGTTTGCATCCTGCTGTCACGTCATAGCGAGGCTTTTGGTCAGGCCCCGTTGCCGGGCCGACGGTGTGGCCCCAGGGTCGGGGGTACCTTCCCTCTCACTCTGAAGATCAGGTACCGATCACATCACTGCAGCCGGGACCTGCTCAGCACCACCAAACGGACCCAAACTCAACAAACTACTCATTTCTTATCCGTTCACTGGAGATGTAATGTAACGTGGTCTTATGCCTAGAAGTAATTTTTTGACTCAGTATATTTTTATTAAATATTCTATATAAATCTATATAAAGACTACAATAGCTGGGATTATTTAATAGCAATAGCTTGTAGTGAATGTGTACAGATGACCTAGAGGTGTGTTAGACATTTTACGAAAAGGCCAGTCAAACCTAAAGGATCCTGTTGTCAGACAAGTAGTATAACCTCCACTTAAACTCCTGCATGCTGACACCGTTTACACCAGAGCACACACACACACACACACACACACGCGCGTTTCTACCTTCTGCTGCTGTGTGAAGGACACCGGTTTCAGAAGCTGAAGGGTTTTAGTTGGTAAACTCGTAGATTTCACTGTCCCGCCTGTGAATGAGAACCAAAACGGCTCCTCTGTAAATACTCTGATTGGATGAATACACTGCAGGTCTTCTGAACGCGTGTCAGACATGACGGTGTGCTGCTCCCAGGCTGCATTCAAACAAGGGATTAAATGAAAGCTGTATTTAATGGTCGCCTGACCTGATGGAAGCCTCTACGGTAGACTAAAATCCTCTCGCTTTTGGACTCTTGTTGCAGAAGAGCTGATGATGAAGTACCGGGCACATTTCTGCCTCGTTTCCTGTCTTACATTCCTTCTGATTGATTTCTGTGCTGTTGAAAGGGCCAACGTGTGATGCTGCGCGACACGGTCGGTGTGCTCTGAAGGTGACAGGACAAGCTCCACAGTCTGGCTTTTATTTAAACTTCTTACACTGAGCATGTTTCTTTTTTTTTCCCAGAAAAAGAAAGAAAATAAGACATGACAACCAAATGTGGTGTTAAGTGAATTTTTAATAATGTACAGTTTTTGTGACTTTAAATTTGATCCTTTATATTTTTAGGACCAGTTCATCATTTTTAAGAGGAGGTATTACAAGACTCTGTTGTATTCAGGTGATGTAACACGTGTGCATCTGTAGAATGTACTGTGAGTTGAATAAAAACACATCTTGTAGAGAGCATCTGTTTCCCTTCTGGCCTTTTTGAGTTCAGTTTTCAAGTTAAAACCAATTTCTTCTGTTTCCTTTGATGTTCCCTAAGTGTAAATTTAGGGTTAAAAACTATAAAAAGGTTTTATTTCCTATAGTGAGTACGGTACATAGTATTCATGTACTGAATAGAATGGAAAAGAAAGTGCCAGTATTGTCCCTCTGGGTACATTTTGGTGCATCTGCAGCCATCACAATCACAACAGGAGCAAAAAAAAAAAAAAAAAAGCTAAAGAATAAAAAAGTAAAATTAAACAGGACCTCAAGAAATGCATATAAATGCATCTCTGTAGATTGGAGAATCCGCTAACCTTCCTTGAGAGTGAAAAACAAGAAAAACCAGGTTTTGGCATCCATGTAATTCTCACAAGAATGCTGCAAACATGCACAGTGAAGAGCTCCATTCAGATGTTTTGTGGTACATCTGTTTGGGTCGGTCTGACGCACTTGGTGCTGGAAACACCGCTCCATTTCTTTTCAAGTGCTTTAGTTTAGGTAGTACACATTCATGTGTTCACATATCAACAGATGTTGCCCTACATCCGCCAAAAATGTTAAGACTGATGCAGGAAGACTTAAAATCACTAAAACAAAAGTAGCTTGTCTCTTGAAGCATCTATTGCATTCCTCTTGCCCTCTGCTCCCTCAAAGCCCTTAGTTTGCACTTTGTGTGTGTGTGTGTGTGTGTGTGTGTGTGTGTGTGTGTGTGTGTGTGTTATTGTGTCAGCATCAGCATTCTGAGTGAGTGAGTGGGCTGAAAACTCCACGCCAGCAGGTTCCAGTTCAGAAAACCCTCCACTCAGCCAGGGCTGCACAGTTAGGCTTACCCACACAAAGGGGGGACAACTGTTACACAGTTGCTGTAGTGATTGGGGGGGGGGGGGGGGGGGGGGGTAATCCACAGCATAATGGAGAACACCCTGAACAAACCTATACCTCTACCACCAACTGGTTCATTCTGGACATAGTTCACACTGAGGGACCCGGACCCAAAGAGTCAGGAAGCTCCGTTTGGGCCCTAAATAGTTTCCCATCACCGACTCTGTGCGTGTGTGTGTGTGTGTGTGTGTGTGTGTGTGTGTGTGTGTTGATATCAAAGACTAAGAATAAAAAGCATGCAGCATCTCATGGTTCTATGGCAACAGCATCCTGAAAGAGTGTGTCTCCATGGCAACCAGAGGTGGTAGCTCCTGAGTACTTCGTGCAGAGGGGACAAAAAGACCTTTAGATAACGTAGTTCCCATCCAGATCTCAGGGCACTGAAGGACAGAGTTACTGGCTCTGTCACAGACATAAGTTATAAATGAAGAGCGCCATGAAGGGACTGTTTTCCACCTAAAGTTCATTTCCTCTCTCTCCTCATGAAGAACTAATCTCCTTTAGATTTGGCTCAAGGCCTTTGACGCCTCTGCATCTACACTGTTTTAACGAGCTATCTGCCTCCCCCTACAGCTCAAGAGAAGACCAAGAAGAACTCTTTTAGAAATCAGAAGAACTCTATTAAATAATATATAAATAACGTCTGTTAGTCCAATAATATTGTGAGCCCAATGTAAATCAATCTGTGAAATGACAATGTTGATTACTTGAATTATAATACTGTAATCAGTAGTATTTGTATAAGATTTAACTTGGTACAGATGCACTAGACACTCTTATGACACAAGCAATGTTAAGATCACATGACACATTCCTTTTGTCTCTCCAATCAGAGCTTTCCTTTCTGACGCGTGGCGTGGTCTGCGTGGTGTTTATACAAACCCCTTGTTGGGTGTCAAATCCTGATTCGACCATAAATCAAAACATCTGGATTATGAAACTAATTCCCACGTCACCCTTAACTTAGTTCAAACGTTCTAGAGTTTCGAGCCGGCCACTCGTAACTTTTTAACCACAAAGAACCTTGACAAGATGGATAATAAAACCTGTTGCAAGCTACACCTGAATGCAACGCTCCTTCAGAGTAAAGCTGAACTCACATCAAAGTACATCAGGCTGGATTGTGTTAAATGCACTGGAGAAATCAAAGAGCATGACCCAGACAGTGCTGCCTGCTTTGTCCAGATTCAATTCAATTCAAGTTTATTTAAATAGCGCCAAATTACGACAAGAGTCGTCTCAAGGCACTTCACATAATAAACATTCCAATTCAGGACAGTTCATTAAGCCAATCAGAAATAATGTGTCCTATATAAGGAACCCAGCAAATTGCATCAAGTCACTCACTAGTGTCAGTGACTATACAGCAATCCTCATACTAAGCAAGCATGCAGCGACAGTGGAGAGGAAAACTCCCTTTTAACAGGAAGAAACCTCCAGAGGATCCTGGCTCAGTATAAGCAGCCATCCTCCACGACTCACTGGGGACAGATGACAGTCGATTGGTTGAAGCAGCTGGATGATGGCATCTTCAACTCCAACTCCATAGCGATAAGCAAACTGCAGCGGGTCCTGATACGTCCTAGTTTGCTTATTCAGGTGGACCAACAGGAGTCTCTCCAGGACCTTCATGATGTGGGATGCCAGGGCAACCGGTCTGTAGTCGTCATTGACTGATGGGCGAGTTTTGGAACTGGAACAAGGCAGGATGTCTTCCACAGGACTGGAACCTTCTCCTGGACCAGGCTGAGGTTGAAGAGGTGCTGCAGAATCCCACAGAGCTGCTCTGCATGGGCCTTCAGTACCCTGGGGCTGACACCATCTGGACCTGCAGCCTTGTTCCTGTTCAGTCTCTCCAGCTGCCTCTTCACCTGACTTCTAGAGACAGATAGGTGGGAGGGGGAGGTAACTTGGGCAGCAGCATCTCCTGACTTGGTTGAAGATGAATTTATAAAACCAGAGCAATTTAGATTTTAATGAATTAAACAATTGTCAACCCGTATCTAACTTACCATTTCTTAGCAAAATTTTAGGAAAGTTGGTTTTAAATCAACTAAATGGTTTTATAAACACTCATAATGTCCTACAGAAATTTCAGTCTGGTTTTAGGGTGAACCACAGCACAGAGACAGCCATTTTGAAGATTTTAGATTGAATTATGATAAACGGAAGGTGACAGTGTTGGTTCTACTGAATCTAAGTGCTGCCTTCGATACAGTAGACCACACTATTCTTTTAACTCGTTTAAAACAGATCGGTCTCTCTGGTGCTGTTCACAGATGGGTCACATCCTACCTCACAGACAGGACTTTCATGGTGAGTTTAAATACCTGTTCCTCGAGGGTCCATGGGATTACATGTGGTGTGCCCCAGGGTTCAATTTTAGGCCCAGTGCTTTTAATCTCTATATGCTCCCTCTTGGTGGGGTCATCAGGACACATGGGGTCAACTTTCACAGTTATGCTGATGATACACAGTTGTACATCTCCGTGTCTCCTGATGACTCTCAGCCAATGGATGCACTTTTTAACTGCATTTTAGACATCAAATCCTGGATGGCAGAGAACTTTCTCCAGCTCAACCAGGACAAAACTGAAGTTTTAGTCATTGGTCCTGAGGCTCAGAGAGAGACACCATTGCCGAAATTACAATCTCTGTCTTTTAATCCTTCTGAGCAAGTGAAGAACCTGGGTCTGATTTTTGACTCTGAGCTGACTTTTATCCCACACATAAAAAACATCACAAAAATAGGTTTTTATCATCTAAAGAACATCGCCAGAGTCCGCCCTATTCTCTCTCGGGCCAATATGGAGACGCTGATGCATGCTTTTATCACCAGTAGGATAGATTACTGTATTGCCCTGCTTTCTGGTCTTCCCAAAAAGAGCATCTCAGGTTTACAACTTCAACAAAATTCGGCAGCACGTGTCCTGATGAAGACCAGGAGGCGGGAGCACATTACACCGGTTTTACAATCATTGCATTGGCTCCCCGTATGTTTCAGGATCAATTTTAAGGTTCTTCTAATGGTTTTTAAGTGTCTTAATGGTCTTGGGCCTTCTTATCTCTCACCATATGAACCCTCATGGTCTCTGCGCTCCTCTGGCAGGCATCTCCTGGTCGTCCCTAAAGTCAGGACACACACTCACAGCGAAGTGTCCTTCCAGTATTACGGCCCTCGCCTCTGGAACGAGCTGCCAGAGGACCTCAGGGCCACAGAGAACGTTCATGTTTTTAAGTCCAGGCTCAAGACCCACCAATTTAGGTTAGCTTTTATCTAAGTGTTTACTATAGTTTTATTTCTCGTTTTACATGATTATATTTTATTGCTAGCTTTGCATGTTTTATACGATTATATTTTAGCACTGTTTCATTATTTAATATTATTATTTTACTGTCTATATGATTTATTGATTACTTATTTTCTTGCTTTAGTCATTTATATTAGCTCTTTTATTTTTACATTTTTTACTCATTTTAATCCAGTGTTTTCTCTGTAGGGGCCCTGTGCCCCGGGGGCAGTGGTCGACTGTTGCTTCCTGGGTGCTCTATAGGTATTGCTTAAGTGGAGGTGGGGGTCTATGCTCCCCCTCCTCTCAGCGCCCTGACTTAGTTGCTGTGGAAGACCTGATGCTGCCGGGGCAGACGGCTCCTCTGATGGAGTTTCCTTGCCTTACCTTACTTGGCTCATGTGGACTCAGCCGAATAAGAATTTTTACTGATGTGTGTGTGTGTGTGTGTGTGTGTGTGTGCTTGCATATGTCTGTTAATATTTTTAAACTGTTATGGGAATTTGGGGTCATTTTGTAAAGCACTTTGTTTGAAAAGCGCTTTATAAATAAAATCTGATTGATAGAACCAGAAGAGTCCATGACTGAGTTAGAGGATAAAAGAGCTGGCACGTGACAGGAAAATGTTGGATCAGAGGAGGATGGGATGTCTGATTGGCTGGGGACAGGTGAGGAGGATGCTGGGGTTGTTCCTGAACTGAACCTATTGAAGAACTTGTTCAGTTCATTGGCTGTGTCTCACTCACCTATACTCTACTTAAGAGCAACAAAAAGCTTTAAAAGACTACAAACATACTCAAAAGTACATTTTCATCTGCGTCACTAATTCTGTCCTTTTTGTCCAGTTCTTATTAAGGAAGTGTTTAAAAGACCACCTTAAAAGATTAATTTCAATGAGGAGGAGCAGTGGTTGTACTCTGAGCCTCCTCACCCTATGTCTCCACCCCCCTTATGATGGAAGCTCATGTCAGCAGCTTGTATCTGAGATCGGCAGATGAGCGTTGACCGCCCAGACCTCCCCAGGTCACAGCTTGAAGCCGCTAACAGAACCACATCATCTGCAAAAGACCAACCTGAACATCATGTGTTAGATACAATGATGGGATTTAATGCTGCCTAACATCACCTTCATCCTAACTACCTCCAGTCGTTTCCATCTTTTTGTGTTCTATGGCCCTTTATGTAATTTATAACCCATTACCTCGTGTAACTGTGTGTGCTTAATGCATTTAGACACATGAAAGACAAGTGAGAGGACAAGTGGAGGGCTTGTTAGTTTCCTTTTTTAAGGTTGGTAGATTTGTTGACAGACTTTTGGAGGGCAGGCTGTTCGATCTACAACCTTAAAGGGACATCTTTGCTCTGTGTATGTGTGTGTGTGTGTGTGTGTGTGTGTGTGTGTGTATGTGTGTGTGTGTGTGTGTGCGTGTGCGCGCGTGTGTGTGTGTATGTGTGTATGTGTGGGTGTGTGCGTGTGTGCATGTGTGTGTGTGTGTGTGTGTGTGTGTGTGCGTGCGTGCGTGTGTGTGTGTGTGTGTGTGTGTGTGTGTGTGTGTGCACGCAGGAAGACAGAGGAGGGCCTGGAGTTCAGAGAGAAGGAGGTGAAGAGGGTGGAGGCTGTTCTCATCAAAGGACCTCTGAGACTCTGCAAGTTAATGAGACCCTGCAGCCCTCAGACCCCGACAGAGACACACAGACCGAAGGACAGGCGGATGAACAAACAACAAAAAACCTGAGGACAACATCTTCTGTGGATCTGAAATGACGTGGCGCGAGGTGAGCATCTTCATTTGACGCTTTAATGATCCGAGTCCTGATTTGTGGAGAATTTAACTCGTTCTCTCTCCACTGACTTCACCTTAAACACAGACGGCTGTGAAATGCACTTTTGTACAATTAAGTCTTCCTGAGTCATACTTGTTGTCTTTTTTTTCTTTTTTTTTACTGATTTCAAGTGTTAGGAAGTAAATTCAGTCATCAGCATGTTGCACCAAGTTTGTAAAACTGTTGAGAAGCTGCGTTAACAAAAAAGCTGCAGAAATAAATGCGTAAATAAAAATCTGCTGTAAAAATGGTCGATTAAGCGTTTCAAAACAAAATATATTGTTCCTGAATTTAAACTGATTACAAAACACAAGGAGTGATTCTAGCTTTGATTTTAAAAACTGACTTTTATAATTTCACAAAGTCACAGATTTTAGATTAAAAAAAATACTTTCATTTGTGTCCAGAGGCCAGAAGATAAATGAGGATGTCTCTTAAATAACCCAATTTCTTTTGATTTTGACTTTTGGGAGGAAAGAAAAAGTCTTTTTCCCATTTCTAAAACAAACAAAAAACTTTTTTTCTTTTAACTCAGTGGGATGCTTTTATTTTTTAAACTAAATCCTATTATCCTTCTATTAGTTTTTTGTTATTTTAACATAATTTAATGGTACCAAGATATATTTAGGGGGGAAACCAGATTGTTGCAAAAAAAAAAAAATCAAATACGTTTTACAACCTTTGCTAAATTATTTTATTTATTTATAATTATGATTTACTTTAATATTTCATGAAATAATTTGTCCAGATTTGATTAAATTTATAATCTAACTAATAAATGATGGACTAACTTGACTTCGTTTATGTCTCGTTCTTTCCGAGAAGCTTCGTAGTCGGCAGTTCTGGAGTGCCATACTTGCAGAGCTGCTAGGCACCCTGCTGTTAGTGAGCGCTGTTCTGGGCACCTCGGTTCCAGGTCCTGACGAGGCCCCCGTGGGGCCCCTGTACCCAGCTGTAGCACTGGGTGCGGTCATCATCGCACTGGGACACTGTTTCGGAGAAATAAGTGGAGCACAGGTAGATGCTTTGTGGAAATCTGTACTAATAACAGCTGAATTATAAACAGATGAAGTGAACTACATAAATACTGAAGACAAGTCAGGTCAGGTCAGGTGAATTCGAGTGTGGGACGGTGACCTGGTGGTGTTTTTGTCTCTGATCAGGTGAACCCTGCCGTGACTCTCTCTCTGCTGGCCACTCGGAAGCTGGATGTTCTCCGGGCGCTTGTTTATGTCTCTGCTCAGTGTTTAGGGGCCTGTTTAGGGACCCTGGCCCTCTACCTTGCCCTGCCTCTCAAAACCACCGCAGACCACTTTGTGAACAAGGTCAGCTCCAGATGTTCCTGAGATGTTTGGTACCACTAATAAACCATTCAGATATGTTAAAAAATAATCTGTAACACTTTATGAACCAGTATTAAGTGTTAATTCTATATTAATTAAAGGGAGTGAGAAAAAACTAAACCTGACCTATTTTTTGCCAGTGAGACAAATCTGCCCACCTATTTAATCTGAAGTTGCCCTCATAAGCATTTCAGATTAAGTCGCTTCCTTGTAAGCACAATGAATATGGGGTACCGGGTCCTCTGATACGGGCCGTGTGTATGACCGGTGTCAGAGCTTGGTCTGCATTGCCGTCAGTAAGTTGGGCTTTTTTTGGTGATGGTTGGACATCACCAAGGCTGCCCTTTGTCACCAATTCTGCTCAGAACTTTTGTGGACCTGTTTTCTAGGTGCAGCTAAGGTGCTGAGGGGATCCTCTCTGCTTTTTGAGAGGATGTGGTCCTGCTGGCTTCATCAGAACGTGATCTTCGGCTCTCTCTGGAGCGGTTCGCAGCCGAGTGTGAAGAAGCGTGGATGAGAATCAGCTCCTCTAAATCCGAGACCATGGTCTTGAGTCGGAGAAGGGTAGAATGCCTTCTTCGGATCAGGGATGAGATCCTGCCCCAAACGGAGGAGTTTAAGTATCTTGGGGTGTTGTTTACAAGTGAGGGAAAGACCAACAGACGGATTGGTGCTGCTTCTGCAGTGATGTGGGCATTGTACTGGTCTTTTGTGGTGAAGAGAGAGCTGAGCCGGAAAGTGAAGCTCTTGATTTACAGGTTGATCTACATCCCTACCCTCAACAATGGTCACGAGTTTTGGGTAGTGACCAAAAGTACGAGATCACGGGTACAATCAACCAAAATAAGTTTTCTCTACAGGGTGGCTGGGCTCCGCCTTAGAGATAGGATGAGAAGCTAAGTCATCTGAGAGGGGCTCGGAGTAGATCCGCTGCTCCTCCACACTGAGAGGAGCCAGTTGAGGTGGCTCTGGTGTCTAGTGAGGATCCCTCCTGGATGCCTCCCTGGTGAGGTTTTCTGGGCACATCTAACTGGGAGAAGAACCAAAGGAAGATCCAGGACAGGCTGGAGGGACTATGTCTCTCGGCTGGCCAGGGAACACCTTGGGAATCCCCCGGAGGAGCTGGCCCAAGCTGGGGAGAGAGAAGTCTGGCCTTCTCGACTAAGGCTGCTGCCCCCACGACCCGACCCCGGATCAGCGGTGGAAAATGGATGGATGGGCTTACTATTGGGCAAGATACCAGTCAATTTAGTCTCCTCCCTGTCCTTAATTAATCCATAATAAACATATTTTAATGATTTATAAAGTGTTAACAGGTTATGTATATATATATATATATATATATATATTTATATATATATATATAAAACTATTTAAGGGGAGATGTTTCGTAAAGCGGTACCAACATTTTAGACACAGTATATACTCCCGCTTGATTTGTTTTATGTAGTTTTACTCTTCGTCCTTACTTAGGTACCCATAGAGCTGAACGCAGCACAGGCTCTGGGCATTGAGATGTTGTGCACCTTCGAGATGGTCTTCACCATCTTCTCAGTGGAGGAGCAGAGACGGAGGGAGAGCCCCGAACCTGGAAATCTGGCCATCGGGCTGGCGCACACAGCCGGAGTGCTGATAGGGGTGAGAGGAGCAGAATGAATGTTTAAACGCAGGTGTTGTTTATTTTAACTCCAAATAAATCATGCTGGAAACAGTTTTTGGATTTTCAACCAACAGTTTCTGATCATTTCTCTACTTTTGTGTTAATTTATGAATGTTTGGGTCAAGTTTGGTCAAACTTCTGTCAAAAACAATTTTATATTACACTCAGTGGTCCCAGACTAACTAACCATTGTAATTTTTAGCTGCATGCAATAATTTTGAGCTCCAAAGCAAAAAAAATAAATAAATAAAAATAAAAAATAAACAGTGAGCTCTGCTTTTCTTCTAAACAACGTTTTAAATGTTGTATAAAAATAGGAAAAAAATGGGCTAAAAACTTTATGATCTGTATTTTTACATTAAGACTACCCACAATGCATTGCATTCTAAAAAAACTACTAAAATGTACATAGTCCTCATTTATGTTGTATGTTGGTGAATTATTATAGTGACACTGAACAGTTGATGCTAAACCTACTTTATTAATTTAATCTTATTTAAACATCATCTGATTACAGAAGGCAAAAAAGTATTTAGTCAGCCACAAGTTGTGCAAGTTCTCCCAATTAAAAGATGAGAGGCATCAAAGGCACGCCTCAACTCTGAGAGACTCAATGAGAAAAAAAATACAGAAATTCACATTGTCTAATTTTTAAGGAAATAATTAGCTAATTATGGTGGAAAATGAATAAGTCCATCTCAATACATTGTTATGTACCCTTTGTTGGCAATGACAGAGGTAAAACATTTTTTGAGTCTTCTCAAGGTTTTCACATACTGTTGCTGGTATTTTGTCCCATTCCTCCATACAGATCTCTTGTGATGTTTTGGGCTGTCGCTGGGGAACAGACTTGCAACTCCCTCCAAAGATTTTCTATAGGGTTGAGATCTGGAGGCTGGCTAGGCCACTCCAGAGCCTTGAAATGCTGCTAATGAAGCCACTCCCTCGTCGCTCTTGCAGTGCGTTTGGGATCATTGTCATGCTGAAAGACCCAGCCGCGTTTGCTGATGGAAGGAAGTTTTCACTCAAAATATGACCATACATTGCCCCTTCAGTTCTTTCTTTTACATGGATCAGTCGTCCTGGTCCCTTTGCAGGAAAACAGCCCCAAAGCATTATGTTTCCACCCCCATGCTTTACAGTGGTATGGTATTCTTTGGATGCAACTCGGCATTTGTTCTCGTCCAAACGCAAGTTGACTTTTTACCAAAAAGTTCTATTTTGGTTTTATCTGACCATATGAATTTCTCCCAGTCCACTTCTGGATCATCCAAATGCTCTCCAGCAAACTTCAGACGGGCCTCCACTTGTCCTGGCTTAAGCAGGGGGACACGTCTGGCACTGCAGGATAAGAGTCCCTGGTGGCGTAGTGTGGTACTGATGGTAGCCTTTAACCCTCTGGAGGCGGGCGTTGCAGATTTGCAACATTAAAACCTTCCTACATGGTTGCTCCACATATGTATTTCATGAGCATTTTGTAACTCAGAAGGACCCCTGAAGGACTTGTTCATCCTTTTATCAAAACTTATTTTGAGCCTGAGAGGGTTGACTTTGGTTCCAACAGGTGTTATTAATACAGGTAATGAGTGTGGGACAGAGGAGCCTCTTACAGAAGAAGTTACTGGTCTGAGAGAACCAGAAATACTTTTTGTTGGTGGGATACTAAATACTTATTTTCCACCATAATTAGCAAATAACTACTGTAAAAATCAGACAATGTGATTTTCTGGATTTTCTTCTCAATTTGCCTCTCATAATTGAGGTATATGATGAAAATGTCAGGCCTGTCATCTTTTTAAGTGAGAGAACTTGCACGATTGGAGGCTGACTAAATACATTTTGCCCCATTGTAAATACATTTAAATTTGCTATAAAACACAAAAAAAATCAGCAAATCTGCTTCTGAGCTCTGATTGTTTGAAATAAATTTTCCAGATAAATTAAAGAAGTATAAAAAAAATCTAAATAACCCTAAAAACAAAAAAAGGGACAATAGTAATAATAAAAGTAATAATAAAAAACGAATAACTCACTGAAATTTAAAGACGATAAAGGCAGCTGCACCAGTGGTTCCACATCTTTGACTGGTCGTATATTTATCAAGTGTTAGTCACCCTCTGATTGTTGTGGCGCTGGTTGCTATGGTAATGCAAGCTTTATCTATGAAAACCAAAAATACTCAAGCAAACGCTATTACCCACTATTAGGATTAATTTACCATTACTTTATAATTTACATCAACCTTAATATTTATAAACAGCAATGTGCAGCATTTCCTGTTTTAGAGCAAAATACTTCCTGTCAGAATTCTTTTGATTTCTGCTGGAATAACCATGTCGTGTTGAACTGAAGACAATATGGAGGTTTAGAAAATAGAGTTTAGGATTAAAAAAAATGATTTTTAAATAGCAGAAATCCACATTGAAGCGGTGACTAGCCAGTAGCTCATCAATCTGGTTAAACTTTCCTGACTAAACAAAAAGATGATCACAAGAAGTTGTTGGCTTACATGAAATGTGACACAAAGCATTGACAGGATGAGCGACGCTACATAATGTTTGTCTGTCAGGCGCGGTTCTCTGGTGCCAGCATGAATCCGGCCCGCTCTCTGGGTCCAGCCATCGTCACTGGTTTCTGGGAAAACCACTGGGTGAGAATCTCTTCTAATGCTTTCCAAAGCTGCTGTTTCTCTCATACAGAGAAAGATAAACTACTTGTTTCTGGTCCAACTAATAAGACATGTCCCTGTGTGTAGGTGTACTGGATCGGACCGGTTCTTGGTGCTCTATTGGCCGGGGTCTCTCATGAGTTCTTCTTTGCACGCAGCGCTTCTCGCCAGAAGCTGGTGGCCTGTTTGACCTGTAAGGACATTGAGATTGTTGAAACAGCCAGCATGACCGGGTCGTCCCTCTCCACGGTAACGCAGAACGCCATGAAGGCCAAGCAGGCAAACAAACAGGACAACAACTGAAGAGACGGGGACACCCTCACAGAAAATGACAGTGGATGCTGGTGGACTTAAAGGACCAGGGAGAGGATGTAAGATAAGAGTTTTATATAAAAATGAAGTTGTGATAAAAGACAAAAGTAATCAATAACAGAAAGTTTTCTAAATGATTATAATTTTGTTTTGTACAAACATAAACCCTCCAGGATCCCTGCAGCAGATTATTAATGCCTGTGAAGCTGTAGCCAGTATTGAGAGATCCAGTATTCCCTTCCACATTTGCACATCATATTAACATGTTAGAGCGGCTCATTGAAACCCTGCTGAATAACACCCTCATGTTCCAGGTCCCTGTCGTGTTTGTGATGCTTTGAAATGCTAAAAAGCTCCTTCTTCTGCTCTGATGCTCTTCATCAGTCCAGCTCCTCTCTAATGTTCACTATTCACAATCAAACGGACCTTCATAACTCTAATGGTGCCCCTGAAAGAACACAACGTTCAGGAAGAGCTTTGTAATTTCAAATGGAGATAATGTGTGTGTGTGTGTGTGTGTGTGTGTGTGTGTTTCTATTGAAATAATGCCTGTTATTATACCACATTAAACTCTTGTTTATCAGTGGCTGATGATTCAAACCCTTTAAAATGAATTAAAAGTGATTATTAATGTAAATCCATTGTTGTCTTAAATAACTTAATAAGTGCTGTGAAATAAAAACAAATAATACACACCAACCACAAGGTGTACTTTACTTGCCTCAGTATGCTTGTGAACGTACAACACACACCAGATGCACAATAGCTACAACAGCTGCAGATACACCAGCAATTTGCATTGTGTGTGTTCTTTCTAACATGTATAAAAGGGAGTTAAAACAACAAGCTCAGCCTTCTGTATTCATCATGAACAACACACACACACACACACACACACACACACACACACACACACACACACACACACACACACACACACACACACACACACACACACACACACACACAGCTCTCTGCGGGTCAGCGCATCACACCACTGCTCATCATCCCTTTGAACCCCTGCTGGCCTTCTGCACCTCTCCCTTTACCCGGCCTCACACACACTGGGCACGTTCAGGATTTGTTCCAGTAACACACACGTTTAGCACATCCCACAAGTTCCATCGTGGAGCTGCACCAGCTCAGTTGGTCTTTGCCTCCCTGGTTCTGTATTCTTGCTGTTTCCTTAAGTCCTCTCAGACGATCTGTCCTAGTTTTCCATCCCACCAAGAACGAAGACAATGCTGGGTTCAGGTTTAATTGTCAGTGACTGTTGATGCAGATGTCTCCAAAGCATCAAACTTCATGTCAGAGCGAGCATTTCCATCTTATCTATAAATAGCTTGCATTTCCATTATACCTATAGCAAATGAAGCTCCCTTGCATGTTGCAGACAATGGTTTCACATGGTCAGGCGTTTCAACGCTAGCGCTGTTAGCTTTGAGCGCTTCCGACTGGGGCCCCAACTGTATTATGTGCCTGCACCTCTCTTTGTGCAGACCCGTGTGCTTGCCGCTCTTGTCCATCAGTAGAGTTAGGATGCATCAACAGATGACATTTGCCTTGAAGGAAACTCCAGCTGCTCCTTTTGGAGTATGTTCTTCTAAAAGCAAAATAGTTCTTTTCATTATTGGAACGTTCAACCTTTCAGTTCATGTTTTCCGGCTCTTCTGAGTTAAACTGCATGTTTTTGGGCCTTACCCTGTGTGGGAGGAGGAGGGGCAGGCCACAAAGGGGTTAAGTTCATTTGCCAAGAGCATCCCCCCCCCATCGTTGGCCCTGCAGGGGGGATTATGGCGTCACCTGGGGCCCCTAGTGGGGGTTTTATAAAGCGCCTGTCTGGCCCCCTTCCCTCCATCAGAGAGGCTAAAAGGTCCAACTGGACAATCTAACGATCCCTGTTCCTGCTTCAGAACACCCCCTCCCCTTTAGCATTAGCATCTCCTCTTGACTCCTCACCTCACCTTAGACCTCCACCTGCACCCCCACATCGTCTCACACCTACGTCTCTGTAACAGGTGGAGGTGAAGAGCAGCTGAGTTGATTACAGAGACCTGCTGAGAAGATTCCTCTAAGTCTTTCCTGCCTTGGTTGTTTTACCCTCAGCTGACTAGTAAAAAGTTGTTTTTTGGCAATTCAAAGGGACCGAAAAGGTAAGCACCTTTTCTTGAGTCTCCTCAAAGAATCTCCTCTACCTGGTAGACAGCCTCAGGCCAGCAGCCATCATGTGGGAGTTCCGGTCGATGAATTTTTGGAGGGCAATCTTTGCGGAGTTCTTCGGGACCATGTTCTTTGTATTTTTTGGAATGGGGGCCGCCCTGCGCTGGACCACCGGGCCTCACCACGTCCTTCATGTGGCACTGTGCTTTGGGCTGGCAGCTGCCACCCTGATCCAGTCCATCGGACACATCAGCGGCGGCCACATCAACCCTGCAGTCACATTTGCCTACCTCGTCGGCTCACAGATGTCCCTTTTCCGTGCTTTCTTCTACATCATCGCCCAGTGTCTGGGTGCTGTAGCTGGAGCGGCTGTGCTGTACGGCGTCACGCCTGGGAACATGAGAGGCAGCATGGCGATGAACACGGTAAGTCCTACACTTCTGTTAGAAATCAGAATATTCTGTATCGGACAAAGGTGAACCTCTTGTGTCTGACTCTAAATATGATTTGTGGTTCCAGCTGCAGCCTGGGATCAGCCTGGGGATGGCCACCACCGTGGAGGTTTTCCTCACCATGCAGCTTGTCGTCTGCGTGTTTGCAGTGACGGACGAGAGAAGAAACGGCCGCCTGGGATCAGCTGCCCTCTCCATCGGCTTCTCTGTCACCATCGGGCATCTCATGGGGGTGAGACTCAGGAAACATAACACAAAAACAGTGCACACGAAGGAAGACACCGTGTGGTAACGCGGGTCTTGTGTTTTCAAGATGTACTACACCGGTGCTGGCATGAACCCTGCCAGGTCCTTCGCCCCTGCGGTCCTCTTCAGAAACTTCATCAACCACTGGGTGAGACTTGTACCCAAACACATGCGACGTCTCTTGCATCCTGAATGCTTCATGAGTTGACTTTATCTTCATTCCTGGCAGGTGTACTGGGTCGGCCCGATGATAGGAGGTGCCATGGGAGCCCTCCTGTATGATTTCATGCTGTTCCCACGTATGAGGGGTCTGTCGGAGCGCCTGGCCACGCTGAAGGGCAGCCGACCCAGTGAGAGCGAGACTCAGCAGGACACTCGTGGAGAGCCCATCGAGCTCAAAACACAAGCTCTATAAACCTGTCCCACCCCTCCACCTTCTCTGATAGGGCCGGGGGATTTGAGACAAGTCCCTGAGCTACACCGACCCCACCTCATCTGCCCCCCCCCACCACCACAGCTTCACACACACACCATCACACAGTACTAAAATCCATTCTCACACTTACTACCATGTAGCATGTTGGGAACATGGAGGTTCACGCCTTTGACCGCAGCCCCCACCCCCACCCCACACACACACACACACACACACTCCACCACTCATTGTGTATTTATAACTGGACATTGTGTTTTTCATAAATGGTGGCCAAAATCTGAACCGGTAGCTGTCTCGCGTCTCCCTCCCTCCCCCGTCTGCTTCCTCCTCCCTGTCAGGGATTTATGAGAGAAAACAGAAACAAATCAGAGTTTAGAGCAGAAGGGTGTTGAGGGTGGAAAGGTCATGGGGCAGGTGGAAGTGAAACGGGGGGCAGGAGGGGGGTCTGGTGAGAATACATGGGCAACAAAGGGTTTGAGGTCATTTTGAATTTTTTGAGTCATTATCATCCATCTGAATTCTCTTCGTTTTTGGTTTTTTCAGACACAACAAACACATGGATGTATGATACCATTAGATCTTACCAAGGTTTCTTTTTACCATCACTACATTTTATCTGTGTGTGTGTGTGTGTGTGCGTGTGTGTGTGTGTGTGTGTGTGTGAGCGCCTGCCTGCCTGCCTGCGTGTGTGAATGCTTGTTTGCCAGTGAGTGTGTATATGTGTGTACGTGTGTGATCACATCTGCAGATCCAGCACTTCTGACTTTTTTATTTTCATGACCGCTCTCCTGTCTCGTACCTTTGTCGGTCACGACCCCCCCCACCCCGCCCTTGCTTTTTGCTGTCTGGATATCTTTTGCTCTGATATCCATTTTTACATTAACCATCTGCTCTTTTGTTCTGATTCAGCTCAGTCCTGAGCGCACGTTGTTATTGGCTGTGCAAGCTTTACATTTAGTCTCCTTTTATTATATGAACCTCACTGGAAGCGCAAAGTGTTTCAATAAAAGAACTGTATTGATAATAAACATAAAAAAGCTTGATAGGGTTGGCTCTTTTGTTCTCTCCTTCAACACCTCAATGATTAAAATTGATTTGTTGTTGTAGTCCCTACTTTGGCCAGCAGAAGGCACAAACAACATAAAAACAATTCAGGCTGAAAATCATGATTCGGTGCTGCATGAGACAGAATAATATTTAAAATAACATTCAGGTCGGCCTCACCGTAAGAGAAATTTTCTCTCTCATGCTGTTGCTCTCACTTCTCACCCCAAAGGCTAAATTAAAACCTTACATTACTAGCAGAAGGAGGTGTCTCAAACCTCCTCCTGCTAAAGCACATCAGATCCAAATCCATCATCAAGTTGCTGTTCCTGAGAAATGTTTATTTTCCTTTTGTTTTTAGTGCACGTTACGACCCAGGCATCTAGGACACCTGGGTCGTAACATACGGGACACAGGCAAATCAGAATTATAAGGATTTATTTGACAAAATGCTCCCGAGTTCAGGTTTAAACATTCACAGAGACACAAACCAATACAAGGAGCTGAATCGGTTAAAACACACACACACACACACACACACACACACACACACACACACACACACACACACACACTTAATGCTATGATAAAAGACAACACTGTCCAAACTGAGACCAAACACTAAACTTTACACAAACTCTACATCCCAATCAGGGACTACCCTGCAAACTCAGGAGGTTTAAAGCAGGACCTCACCTGCATGTCTTTCTAAAAGGGGACTTGTCTTCAGACAAACACATAAAACACACACACCAACTACACACCATGACACAAAACACATATAGGCCACACGGATGGTAAAATAAAGCCGGGGAGAAAACAGGCCAGAGACAGGGTGTCTTTGAGCTGTTTGTCCTCCTTCAGCTGCTGATTGTGATTCCCTCCAGCTGGGCGCCTCAGGGCTGAGCCAGGTAGAGCAGGAGGAGACAGATGCTGCAGAGCAGCTCTCCTCAGCACACGAAGATGAGAACAGGCGGCAGAAACACAAACAGCTGTGGCCGTAACAGTGCAAAAGGATCAGATCAGAAAATGCACAAATCATTTGGCCCTTTTATTACATTTTAGTTTGACAAACTAAAACTATAAAACATCATGACAGAGTTCAAGTTTCATAACCAGTCAGAGGCAGAAGCTTTCACCTCTCCAGTGACGTCTAAGACAACGGAGTCAGCCAAATATGGAATGATGACAGAAATAGGAAAGAGCAACACAGACTTGCAGTCAGTTCACTCACCTAACACGGATGTTCTGGGATTACGAGAGAAAGAACTAAAACCAAATAAATGTGTTAAAATATCTGAGGAGAAAAAATTGAAGAGAGAACTTTTGGAGAAGTCATCTCCTCAAATATAACCAGATCTACAGACACATGCTATTTAAAAGTAAAACAATATTTTTCTGTAGAAAAACTAAAGTCTGAAAACGAAATTCATCTTCTTAAAAAGGTAAAGATCTATGTCCTGGAACAGCTCTTCCTTCCTGATCCTGATGACATCACCTGTCAGATTCAGAGCACGAACAAAGAAAACATAGCATCTTGTTTGGGAATGTTGTATTTATTCTGCATATGTGTTAATTACAGGTGATGTGTAGCTTGCTTTAGTACTACTGGGGTCGGTGCCACTGGCGCAGCACCAGTAAACTCCAGTAAACCCACTTAAGCATTTGTCTGTATTGTTCAGCTAAAGACAAATAAACAAAAGTAGAGGTGTTTGGAAAAAGAGCTTCATCCTGCATCCACGTCTCGTTCATAGCCACTCACACACAAATAAAAACAACAACGTAAATAAAAACAGAGAAGTTAATCAAGAAACAGCTAAATACAATAAAATAACTCTGTCACCGACCTTATGCTCAGCAATCATATTTACTTTCTCTGTGATAAAACTTCATCGTCGAGCTGATAGAGGGAGCAAAAAGGAAGCTTTTGTCAAGAGATGCTAAAAAAAAGTCAAGCAAGAAGAGAGAGAGAGATGTTGCTAAGGCCGAAGACAGGAAGGTGACCTTGAAGAGGAGGTAACTGGGTCAGTGCTTCAGAAAGACAAACTGTCTCTCAGCTTGGCTGGAGTCCAGTGTTCAGAGCTGCAGCATCGTCTCACACCTCATCCTCTTCACTCGCGTTCTCCTAAGAGAAGGGTCCAGCGGTTGTTTCAGATCCCTGACTGTCTCCAGCTATGAAAAAACATTCACAGTGTGTGCTGAGGACAGCCGCAGAGGATTCACTTCTGCAAGAATACAGAAAAACTAGAATGAGAGTACTGTCCAAAAGCCCTTTTTATAACTCCGTACTCTTCCACTGATCCAGTGTTGTTCCAATGATGTTATTGATGAACAGTCACATTGTTTTAAATCATCATGTCGGCAGTTCGAGCCCCACCCTGGGGCTGCTTACTGAATATGGTCGGGCTGGTGGAGAGGCCAGTGGAGGAAGGCCTGTGGTGTCAGAGCAGCCAGAGGAGGGTGGAGGGCTGCAGGAGGCGTTGGGGAGGCGGTGAGAGCGGGCGTCTGTGTGCCAGTGGGGAAACTGTAGCTGAGGAAGCCACTGGAGGGTGAGGGTGAAGGGGCGTACGGGTACTGCTCCAGTCCTGAGGGGGCATAGGGGCTGTACTCCAGGTAGGGGGGGGTGAGAGCTGTCGCTGCAGGGCTGAGGTGAGACTGAAGCAGGAGGCTGGGCTGGACAAACGCCTGGGGGTAGATGTAATGCTGCGTGAACCTGGAAGGTCAGAACATTAACATGTTATCACGCTGCCTCACCGCAGAAAACAATAAACTGGACTCATTTATCAGCAGGTTATGCAACTCTAACTCAGTCCTCCTCACAGAAAACCCCACAAACTTCACATGAGAAAATCACATGTGAAACATCAAACTGCCATGTGACAACATGTGGAAAAACATGTAAAAAAATAACATTTTTTATGAGATTTTAGAACTTTTCAACATTGGTGTGGTCCCCTGTCATCACATGGTTTATTCACATGGACTTGCAGGTCGCATGTTTGAATGTAATATGTGTTGCGGAGTGTAACTAAATGATTGAGTGCAACTTTTCCAAAGCTGACGACTTCTGTTTTCCTTTCAGGGAGACGAAGAAACAACATAAAGGGCGTTTAGACTTTTATTCTTTCTAACATTTTCCCATCTCAAGAACAGGAGACACACAAACTCATGAAGCTAATCTCCTTTACCCCTAATTATCACACACCGTCTTAAAATAGATCTTCTCCCTTGAGTGTAAATTTAATTAGCTCGCTGCTGGAGAAATCTCTCACAAAGAACCTTTGATCCAATTAAACCATTTATAAAAGTAAAAAAAAAGTTTTATTTTAAAGTATGCCTTCTGAGTTTTACGTCTATACGAGCTCACAAACACAAAGTGACGCAACGATGCGCTGTGGGAGATTATTACGACTCGGCCGTGCCCTTGCCCGAGGCCTACCACTTAACCTGAGCTGCCTCGGTTACATACGGCAAAAAGCTGATCCGATCAGAGGAACCGGGTTACAGCAGCGCTCCAGTCCAAAATGACACAGCTAGACAGTTTTTAAGGCTCGCCCTCTCCTCATCAGCGCCTACAGGCTGAGCCATTAACCTGACAGCACACTGGAAGTGAGGTGGAAGGGCTGGCCTGCAGCTGCTTTCCCCTAAACACAAGCAGAACAAGCGTGCTTTCACAACAAATAAACACACGCCTGGACCTGCTCACATGTATACACAACACAAACGCGCACACAAGTGCAGCCATCCCAGTACCTTCTGAGTGTGTTCATATTAAACATTTTTTAACTTATCTGACCTTGCAATGTTTGACTCATAAATGTCTCAGGTTCTGCTGAGGCACACTCACCCCGAGCCTTACACACTCACTGTTTACAGCTGCTTGCATCTATCTGGCTGCTTTTATGCTAAAACTAGTCATTGCAGGTTACTGACACCCAAAAACACACACTGGATTAGGCCCTGCTACACGCTCCATGACCTGCTTTACCTGCTGGAAGTTGGCTGGGATGCAGCTAAAATGGAAAACCTCCTTCTGATTCTCTATTTTTTGCATCCTGTTGAAGTTGCTCTGCACCCCCACACCCCCTAACCCACAAACACCCCGTCCCCAGAGCGTAAGTCTCTCTGATGGGGTCAGGATGTTTGCCGCCGTCACTTCCCATCGACTAGGCTATCTTAGCTGCCACCATATGAAGACTACACGTTCGATATCTAAATATTACATCGGCTGCTGACTGACCTTTACACGTTACAGCTGCTCCAGTGACACACTTTATACTTTAATATTTATCCTTTTAAACGTTTTATACTTTTATTATTATTTTTTTGCATTTATTTACATTATGATTCACATTCATCCAGAAAATAATAAAATAAATAACTTTATTTGATTTGAGAAGATCGTATTATGCTAAACTAAATACTGATGGTGTAATGGGGTTATTGGACTCCACATCGTGTTACAAACCACCACCACGTCCCTGTGGAAGATGTCCCATGGATCAATCATAATCTGTCACACGCAACGTGCTTGTCTTGTGTTGAGAAGACTTTCACGTAAACCTGAAACCTCATGCAAAGTAACAAGATTTTGCCTGGTGATCTGAAAAAGGGACTAATTTTGTTGCCTACATCTAATGTTTCAATAAAATCTGTCCAATATGTCATGAGATGTTTTGAGCAAAATCAGATCTGTCGTTGGGCGCCTTTCTGCTGTGGGAGACGGGCTCCAGAGCAAGCATGAGTAACTTCATGCAGCTGATTTAGGAGGTTCTGAGAGAGACAGTCAGAATCTGCAGACTCATGACAAAAAACAACGTAGAAACTCTAAACAAAGCCCTTCCTTGTCCCTTCCGGACCCTGTCTCCTGCAGCAGAAGTGCAGTGTCATTGGCCCAACTGTGTGCTGCTGCCTGACGCTGTTCACAGGCCTGACTGATCCAATATGACAGCGGTGTCGTACGGAGGGAGCCTTGCCTCGCCTCTCATCGTTCCTGACTGTCAAACACACATTACATGTATATAAATATAAATACACACAGGGAGGATGTGGGCAGACAGCTGAGCAGACACAGAATTACACAACATGCACTGAATCATGCAGGAAGTCGTCCTAATCAGGAGTGAAAAACAAGTGTAACACACACTTGACAGGTTGTGTGTAGCTGGTGAAGCAGCTTAGAAAGGGGTGTGTGTGTGTGTGTGAGAGAGAGAGAGAGAGAGAGAGAGTGAGGTTTAAGCATGGCGGGGCTAATTGGTGCAGCTGCATGTATGCTCACTAACGGACTCATGAGAGCAGAATAACCTCCACTGCCTCCCGTCTCCCTCCCGCTCTGGGTTTTACTCTCTCACTGCCACCCCCCATGGAGAATACACCAGAAAACACCTGCGCCGTCTCCCAGAGTTCCCAGAGTCAAAGTCAGGCTGTCTTGTTTAAGAAGAGAAAGATCCTGAGAGGTGAAGGATCAGCCGTTATGTCTCTCAGGCTTTAGGCCTTTAACAGCTCGGATGACGGATATGAAGAAGATGAGTCAGATAAGGTTAGAAAACACAGACACACACACACACACACACACACACACGACCCTCTGTCCTTTCTTCGTAAACATGCACGGCTCGAGGGGGGACTAGCCAGCGCAGGCTCTGGACACTCAGCTCTGCTGTCAGCGGCGAGACTTCAGCTCGATTCATTCAAACAGGGTCGTGTGATGCTGAGGAAAACTAAACTACTGGCAGGTTTACAGAGTTTTGTAGTCGTGGAGATGCCTCTGTGCCTGTAACTACACTGATGAATGAAGGTGTGTGGATGTTGTGATGGATATATTTGATCTCTTATTTATTCGACCCTTACAAACTTACAGTGGGGCCAGAGAAGTTGGTTTTATGACAGCCATAAAAGTTTTTCTTTTTAGCTGCAGTTTCCTGAGAGTTTTGCTTCAAAGGGCAGGAGAAGCATCATTTACACCCCCATCTCCTGTAAGCACATGGGTCCAGATCACCCCTACAGAGGGCCTTCCTTTGTTCTCCCCCATTGGGTGAGGGGGGGGGGGGAAGGGGGGGATATATAGAGTGTGGGGACCTCTGCTGAGCAGGACTCACTCCTGAGGCTGCTTTGGGAAGAGCCTCTGTGACTTTCTCCTCATTACAATATTGAAATTAAACCCTTTTGATTGAATCATGGACTGCTTTCTCATTCTTTTATTATGTCTCTAAAAGAAAAGCCACAACAATTTAAATCCCAGTCCTGATTTCTGTGTCACATCCTGCTCTAACCACAGGTTCCAGAAGATCGAAAACATTATTTTATTTTCTGCTTCATTTAAGTGATTAATTGAACTTCTATTAACCTAAAAACTTAAGAAAACTGACACAGTTTTAGAATAAATCCCTAATAGGCCCAAACATGGACCAGTCTTTTAAACATGACCCAAAACTCACGTGTGATGTTGCCCTTTAACCCCAATCTGAGCGTACGTGAAACATTAATTATGATTAATTGTGTTTATTAGAAAATCCTGACCTGCAGAATTAAAAATCCCTTCAGTACAGACTGTCTGGCAACATGAAGTAGGCTAAAAGATCTCAAAAAGCAACACATCATGCCCCGTTCTAAAGAAATTCAAGGACAAGCTAGAACAGCTGAAGCCCTGCTGCCTCACCTGGTTCAGGTTAAGGTCAGAGGTCATGATACAGCAATGTGGAAAAATTGGATCAGACAAAAGGAAATATGATGTTTTGAAGGAGTAGCATTGCATCTGTTTCACAACAAACATCCTCCATCATGCTGCAGGCACATGATGCCAACAGAAGTGTTGATGTAACCTGAAAAACTCAACAAAACCGAGCTCAAACACTTTATTCTCCACGTCCGTCACAGGTCTAACAGGAGGGAGAAAAGGGCAGCAGGATCTGCATTTAGCAAATGCGTCACAAGACAAAAACTCAAAGCTGAAAAAGGAATCTGAGTCTCACAAAGTGAGTTTCTGCACTTTGAAAATCAAAAGAATCCCTTTTGAGTTTTATTTTTCTGTAATTCACCAGAAGTGGCTCTTTAATTGGGTCCCTGACTGGAAGGAAAATCCACCTGAGGGTTCGCCATCTACCCGAAAGCCCCCAACAGACAGAAAACCATAGCAGCAAGAAGAAAGAGAGCTGGTTCAGAGCAGGAGGGTGACAGCTAAAGAGGGAATTCAGTGTGGATGTTTAAAAGGACTCGAAGCAACGGCCCCCGCAGAGGCAGATCCATGATGATTCATGACGCTTTGCCCAGGAAGGTTTTATTATAAACCAGATTCATCATACCAGCTTCTAGAGCTCCACTGAACCGGATCACAGCTACACCCTGTCACAAGAGTGCTGTAAGTCTGTCACCTCCCTCAACAGGAAGTAAACCCCCCCCCCCCCCCCCCCACACACACACACACACACACACACACCACCACCTAAACAGGTCTCACCACACATCCATCTCCTCCCTTCTCCTCCCAACTTCCTTTCTCTCAAGAAATAAACACCACAAGCATCTTCAGAGACAGAAGAAACCTCACTTTAGTAAAGCAGCTGCGCTAACCTTGAAGTCGACCATGGGTGACCCCCCCCCCCCCCCAAAAAAAACAGGAACTACCCAGATCTAGCTGTACCTCAGAGTCCGTTTTTGCATCAGCCTGTCTCCCTGAAGCTTTCTGAAAACACACAGAAGCAGCAGACAGATCTG